TTGTGACAAGGGACGCATTATAATAACACTTCTTGTCCCACTTGAAATCTCAAATTTAAAACTCTCCCTCACTTCTTGAATTATACAGATAAAGATGGGCCTCAAGCATAACTAGTTTATCCAACTGAAAAATATATTATCTAAGCAAGTTTATGTAAAGTTCACCACTGCAAAAGCATAATTTTTTCATCCTATATTGTCAAGCTGTATGGCTAAAAAGGCTCAGCTACACAAAACCAATGGTAAAAGCAGAGAACTTGTATTTTAAGAGTGAAAAATATTGTTTGCTTGACATTCTAGAAGTTGGTGAGAAAATAAGAAAAGACACAACCAGAAGTTCTTTAGTAAAAATTGCTCTCTGAAAGGCGAGGGCCCCGTTTCACAAAATGACCGTAGCGCAAAAATTGTTGTAGCTCCCACAGTTTAACAGACTTACGAAACTTACCGTATTGGACGTAATAAGCGCCCCGATTTCATAAGCGCCCACAGCGATATTTGCTAATACATATAATACATGTATATTGGCTAGTGAACAATCCCAATTGGCACCCCTTCCGATTGATCAACGGACACAAGACTTATTTTTTCGTGTATAATACACACTCGTGACTTATATGCACCCTTAATCAATGGGCAATTAAATTCTGAAAAAATATATTTGTCGTTCATAAATATATCAGGCTGTCAGCATAAACTACGATATTTATCTTCCAACTCAAAATAATATTCTAATAAGAGCCCCTATTCCTAATTTTGAGAGCACCCTGGGCACGTATTACGTCGAATACGGTATATACAATGAGGCACTATGCAGATGCTTGAGGAAAATAACACAAGATATCAATTCACTGATGGTAGAGGACATCCTCAATTATCCAGTGTATCTCCACTCTATTATTTATCATGAACTTATCACAGAATCTCAGGTGATCTCGAGTCGCTATATGGCTGAAATAATGCTGATGCAACGTTAAATTTTAACTCACTCAGGTGAAATCAACAACCAATCAAAATTCCTCTTCTGAACGCAAGTTCAACTTAGATCCCCACTCAAAACTGTGGTCCTGTCCCAGTGCCCCTTTGATGCCTGAGATTCGAATCAGATGATTGTTATGAAGTTTTAGTTGGAAAATATGATTTCCTGAGTCATAAAATAGAAGACAGAAGTCATTACGTCACAAACTGTTTTGAGTGAGTGAGTGAGTGAGTGAGTGAGTGAGTGAGTGAGTGAGTGAGTGAGTGAGTGAGCCAATAGTGATGACGGTCTACGACGTTGACCACTTCGGTGAAATGCACGAAAACGGGCATTGTGCTGACAGACCTGAAATCTGGGCAAACCGGGATTCGAACCCACAGGACTCAACTTCGCACAGTGAATTGTGGCGCCTTACATGACTCGGCACCAATGTCAGTGCTTGCATTTGAGAAAACAAACAATGTCAAGTGAAGTATGGGTGATATTGCTGCTCGTTTCCATCATAAAAGAAGTCTTTGTTTAGCATGTTGTCATTCAAACCAGACTGAATACAAAAGTGGAGAATAGTTTCTGGGTATTTCTCACAATAGAATGGAGTTTAATACAGTGGATAATTGAGAGTGAGTGAGTGAGTGATTTAAACATTAGACTAGTCATATCACGGCATGTCAGCTTAATGTGGGAGGAAAGCCCGAAGTGATGCAGGTCTCAGACGTTTACCACTTTGGTAAAACCCACGAGCACGGGTATGGTGCTGACAAACCTAAAATCATAATCTTTGCGAACCGGGATTCGAACACACAATCATAGGTTTCTGGCGTGCCCAAGGGACGCAACTCTGCACAGCGAATTGCGGCGCCTTAGACGACTGGGCCACCCGTGCCCCCAGATTATTGAGACTGGGTATAGAAAGAAGTCACTTCAATGTCACACTTCAACATCAAATATTTATATATAATATTGCAAATTGTTCTACCCTCCATTATTCTGGTGTTTGCAATAAGAGATCCAGCACTGCATTTCTACAAGGATATGTATAACGACATGACAAACAGCTTGATTCAAGGTCTTGGTTACATGGTTTGAGAAAATACACCAAAGTTATGATATGATGTGCATTGCAATACCTAATTCACTTTTTTTCAAACAGAATTCTTATTTTGGCATATCATAGAAAAAGGAAAACTGATTTCTTGTCCAAAATAACTTATGGACGCCTTGATTCATCTTATTTCTAGTAAACAGAAACACAAAATAACAAAAGACTACATATGAGCAAATCATTATCAGTCTATAAACATGAATTTTTAGCTGATATTCAAACAATCTGTAAAAGGATACATATTGAAAAACAATGAATCAAATCATCATGACAATGGGTCATGGAACAGAGATTAATATTGCAGTTCATTCCTGATTATTTATCATGACAACCAGTATCTTAAATGTTGTTTCAAAAAAGTCAAATTTCATTTGCAATCACCTTAATTGATATGTCAAAAGAAATACATTTCTAGCCAGTTTAAAAGTAAAACTTTGTCAGCACATTTCCTTCAGTTAGCCTGTATGAGTATGGTGTGTTTTCCACCGATTGTAGCAATATTCCAGCAACATCATGTCAAAAAACACCAGAAATGGGCTTCACACATTGTACCCCAGTCAGGAATCAAACCCTGGTCTTCAGCGTGACGAGCGAACGCTTTAACCACTAGGCCACCCAACCGCCCACTTATACCATTAAGTTCACAAGTAAAAGTCACAATACTACTGTGTCAATGAGTTTTCCCTAAGGCTCCAGTCATTTGTTATTGGGTGGGGTGGGTCAGATTGAAAGATTGAATCGGGTAGGGGGAGAGGAGACCAAAACAAATGGTCTCCCGGGGAGGGTGATGAAGAAATAATCACATATTTGGGATGGGTCATGAATAAATGGACATTTAGTAATAAATGCTTTTGCATTTTTGCCAAATACTGTTTGAAAAGGGAATATGCATAAACAGCAAAGATGACAGGGGTATGATGGAGACACAATCATAGCCCCAGGATTAGGGACCAGTCAATAATGACAACAGGAGTGGTCCCAAAACTTTTATGCACTAATGTACTGAAAATAATTACCCCTCCCCGAGGCAACATTTATTTTATTTCCTGGTTACAGATGCGACACTCTTTCAAAGTTCAAATGATGATAAAATATTAAAAATTTATTACCGCTGATATTTACATCAGAAAATACACAAAAAGTTCAAACAAAAAAGATTCCGTTTCCTCATCGAGTGTAAAGTAAAGGGAAGCCACTCTGATATTTCCAAGATCCTTCTCCAGTACCATCAAAGCTTGTCACCACAAATGCATTTCACCATGACATGAATATTGTTATATTGCCATTTGTGCACAAGCTGTGTGCCAGGGATATAATAAAATGTTTCTGAAAAATTCAGTTGTTTTACTTTGTTACTCCAGAAAATATTTTTTTATACCTATCTAGTTTTTAAGGACAAAAGTCAAGTAAAAAATTTGAGAGTTTAACGTTGATTTTTTTAATTTGCCTACCTCACTTTTTGAAATGAGTTGGCAATCCATAAACCAAAAAATAAAAAAAAATGTCGCCTTATGCTTGTCATAAATTTGGATGACCCTCCCAGAAAAAGACAGTTTCTATTATTTCCAAATTTCCTGTACGTAAAACCATAATATTAAAAAAATAATGCTGACATTTTCAAATTCACTGTACATAGTCTCTGGCTAATGCAATCTTCTCGTAAATTCAACGGCGACTCAACTACATGTTACTGCAATTATTTGCATCCAAAATATATCAAACATTCTGCACATTAAACAGTATTAGTATGTATTTTCCCCACTTTATCGACCAACCGATACAAGGTGCCAAATAAAATACAAAACTATTGTGTTACAAAAACTTATTTTGAAGTTTATTTCAACTGACACAATCTTATTGGTTAAGAAAAGTCTGTCAATCATTAAACAAAACAAGTGTTGCTTAACATGGTCAAGACTCCCCAAACCAGTGGTGGCAAACTTGCTTAAGGCAGCAAGTATTTCAGTTATAACATGGTGAAGCATAAAGTGGAAGGATAGACCATACTGACACAGGTCATACATGTTAATCACTTTGGTTATGCAAAATGAATGCAGTGTTAGAAAGTGGCACTAGTCCTGTAGTCCTTGCCAAAGTGCCCAATAGTTAAGGTATCAATAGTATAAGGGTGAGTCAAAATTTGACATTTTTTACAGCTTTTGCTATATGCTATCATTATAAGGACTAGGACTTTAGTTATAAAGTTAGTTTCTACCGCTGGAAAGCTGTGTCTTTGAAACCTGTAAAGGATATTTTGTGTCAGTGTATCGCTGAAGAATATTTGAACAATTATAACAAAGATTTACTCCAAGATATTTTATTGTACTGGCATCACACAAAGCATGATTAGACACAAATTTCCCTTGGACATACGAAAAATTTATCTGGGTTACTATTTATAGCATTGTGCTATTAGAATCAGACTCAAAACGAAGATATTGCAGTTAATGGGTCAAGGGTATTTATCAGAATAGAATGGAGATATAATACCTCCAACATGGAGATTGGTCTGAAGTGAGCTGTGGAAGAGTTGGATTTAGACATGTCTACCCCTGCATTTAGAAACAAACAAAGCTCCAGATAAGCTGCGTATCTGCGTAAAATACGCATCAGAAATGCAGAAATACGCAGTAAAATAAAATCCAGGCGTATCAAATACGCAACGAACATTACAGATACGCTAAAAAACAACAACTTGTGAGTATCATCAAAATATTGTGAAGTAACCCTGCGTTTTCGATTAGCAAATCAGCAACTTATTTTGAAATTATAAACGGGCATTCCGCCAACCTTGCCAAACTCCACGATGACAGTTACATCATGATCATTTGCCATCACACTTTCTTGTGGAAGTATCGTGGTATTTTTGAGCCCTATAAAGCTCTCGAACCCACAAGAAACCAGTTTGCAGGGACTAGATGAATAGTGTAAAAACTAGTGGGTAACTGAAATTTGAATACCCAGATAGAATTACTGATACCCAATGATTTTAAAAATGCATGGGTAAAATACCAAAAACACCAAAAGCTTATCTGGAGCTCTGAACAAATCCTCCTCCTCAGGCACTTTGGGGCATAAAACAGGTCATTTTCATATCTGGCTCATTAAACTGACACAAAAAAATTACTCACAGCACTACAGTACAATTAAACCTTAAAAAGAGAAACTAGCAACAGCTGGTTCTTATAAGCCTGTTTGCTGACAGATGTCAGTGGAACTCCTCTACACAGGATGTAGGGCATGTGCTTAAAATCTCAACATAGCTCATGTATTTGTGCTTGGAGATTTTTGGAGATCACTCCTACACCTGATAGATGATATGAAAGTGGTCGACTTGGGTTTCACGCATCTCGAGCTTGGGCGAGAGATGCTTTATCTTGTTTATGCTGCTTTTAATAATATGGCTGGAGACATCCGAGCTGGGCTTCCGGCTTGTGGGGAATCTAACCTGGCCTTTGGTGTGATAAGCGAACATTTAACCACAAGGCTACCCCACAGACCCAATGACGCTTGGAGACCCAGGGGTAGAATAGGTCTTCAGCAACCCATGCTTGCTGTAAATGGCAACTATGCTGGTCGTAAAAGGCGACTAACAGGATTATGTGGTCAGGCTCGCTGACTTGGTTGATGCATGTCATGGTATCCCAATTGTGTGGATCGATGATGTCAATCACAGGATTGTCTGATCTGGTAGCCTAATGAGGGAGGAAAGACATAAGCCATGAAGGTCTTAGACGATAACCACATTACTGAAACCCTCAGGACAAACTTATAATTCAAAACCCCTCTCAGCAGATCCTGATACGACTAAAGGTCGTAACTCTGGCCAAAACATCTGGCACTAGATGACTGAGCTACCATGCCAAACATAAGGAAAGATTTGAAATACCAACATAAGTAACCATGGTAACAGAATGAATTAATGCACTGATGGAGACATGGGATGATCCGTTCTTACATCAATAATGATAAAATTCATCCATGAAACTGATACAACTTTTGGCAGCCGTTAATATTTCAGTGAAATGAAATTATGCTGCTACCCAAATTCACATCAGGCTGGCATGGTGACCAAACTCCTTCATTCTACTGTAGACAGTTCCATAACCATGACAACAGGATATAAATACACACTAGTCTCTGTGTATCCGGATGAAAAAGAAGTATAAACTCCAAAACTTTCTTGCAAGAAAATAAAAAAGCATTTTGTCAAAACCCATCTTTCAAATCATATCACAAACTGCAGACTTATACATGTGAGAGAGTGCGTTTGGTTTTATACAAATATTTCTTCAGATCTTAATGGCAACAGACTTTTAAGGCAATGAAAATGACTTTGCAATAAGAGCAGCTAGTGCTGTCTCCTCATGCCCCCCAGCCAGTCGAAGTTCTTCTAACACAGCATGACGAGAGAAGCCCCGTGACATTAGGCGTTGGACAACCTCCTCTGGGAATGATGGCTGTGACTGAGCGGGCGCAGCACTGGAGCTACCAGCCTTGCTGTCCTTCATGCCACTAGTTGATGGTGTGGGTCTGCTGCCTGATGCTGAAAGAAAAGCAATGACAGTTATAGAAATGTATTTTTTTAGAGTAAAAATACCATTTATACTTATCCTGACTCATACTTATTGCTTATCTCTCTCTCTCTTCCGAATAGGTAGTGGAAACGTCCTGTGCTGTTCTCTCTTTTTCGCGCCATCTTGGCAGCTGGAAATTTTTTCTGTGCATCGTAATTTAAGCTTTCCTTAAAATTCACCCTTTTTAACAAAATTTCATACACACCCGCCACACTTAATATTCAGTAAAAGATCTAGGAGTGAGTGAGTGTGTTTGGTTTAATTCTGCTTTGATCGGTATTCCTGTTATCATGGTGTGTCAGCTTAATGTGGAAGGAGAACCTGAATTAATGTAGGTTGCAGACATTTACCATATTGTTGAAACCGTGATGAGCTGTGGGCATAATTTTTATAGTGTGTCTTTTGTGGTTCCGTTGCATCCCTGCACCGTAAACGTGTTTCCCCTCATGAGGAGTCGCAGACAAATAAGGGGAGAGAACTCACCTGCTTCAGCGGCTGACTTGGCCAGTGCCTGAGCTAACTGTTCATCTTCCTTCTCTCCGCTGGGCTGATTAGTGAGGTTGAGACGGGCGTGTTCGGGTAGGTCCCCCTCAGCCAGGAACTGTGTTTCGGTGCCTGTAGTGCCAATGATCAATCTGTTCTTCTTTAAGTCTATACAGCACTGAAAGATACACAATCATGACGCAATGTAATACTCATTTCATGACCAGGTTTCCAAAGTTGGTGAGACAGTAAGTACGTAAACACATTCACTAGAACACAACAAGAGGCCCATAGGGCCTGTATTGCTCACCTGGATATTTAAAAAGATACACAATAATGACGCAATGTAATACTCATTTCATGACCAGGTTTCCAAAGTTGGTGAGAGAGTAAGTAAGTAAAGTAAGTAAAAAGAATCACTAGAACACAACAAGAGGCCCATAGGGCCTGTATCGCTCACCTGGATATTTACGTAATCATGACAAAATATACATTTGCATTGTACATGTATATAATACTGCAAATATTTCGTAATTTTGACTCTGTCAGCATTTAAAATGGGTGGATGGCAAATCTGACAGCAAGAATATGTATTTCTCTAGCATAAAGATCTGAACCGTTTCCATGTTATGATCCAGGATAAATCATATCAAACGTATTACTCTCTTCATAACAAACAAATGTATACAATGTATCTGTTTGTCATAGGGTGGGGATAATATTGGTTTGCATGTTCTAGGTTCTAACTCCTTTGGGAGTGCCGGACAGATGAACAGAAGGGCCAGTCCTTGTAGCATATGTGCATTCTTCTCATTATACTCTCGATTGTACATATGGTTATAGATCTGTGAAGATCCGGAGTAGAATAGGTCTTCAGCAACTAGGGGTGTCACGATAAATCGAAATATCGATATACTGCTTTTGGTAAGCACTCAAAGTCAATAAATCGATAGTTAAATCAGTTTCCGATCAATAGTATCGTTTTCGGTTTGGAATATCGATAGTTTCGATTGTATTTACCATATCAATAAATTTGTTTTTCTCTACATCATGAGTGGTAGTAATTTACACATGGTAACGTGGAAGTTTCTTTTTCTTAAATTATTAGGGTAAAGAAAAACAACAAATCCGCGATATCTCAAATTTTACTTTTTATTTGTTGTTATGGTTATCACATTCAAACTTCAGTTCCAAGGTTTAGTTCAACTCTAAAATCCATCTAAAATGATACATTGAAAACTAGGGGTGACTATTGAGGCATTTTTGACTATTGCGATACTATTGCGATAGTTAAAACAACTATTGCGATATTATTGCGATAGTGGCCCTACTATTGCGATAGTTTTCACTTGCAATTATAGCAGGCTTTAGCAGCATATATTTCAGCATTTTGACCAACACCATCAAAATAATTATAACTTTCTGATACTATTTGTAAAGAAAACAAGAAATGAGAAGAAAACAAGTTCAAATTGACTTCTCAAAAACATTTTAATACAAAATTTCACTTCATGTAACTTGTAAAGTCTTAGGTTACTGCAGTGTTTTAGCACCAATGTGAATGAATGTGATTGAATGACTAGTATTTGACTATACAAACTGTCAAACTAATTGTCACATTGGCATTCACTGAATGACTAAATGCGATTCAACATATCAATTAGGAAACAAAGTTGACAAAAACTGACATGTGGCGTCCGCCATCTTGTCAATGTTGCCTAGGGACGAGTAGCTAAAGGACGTAATTCTAAATCAAGCAAACAAAGTAGTGCAATCCAAACGAAAGCACGACAGAGCTTAGATGATCATAGGAGTTGTTTCTATGTTTTTTAAGAAAGTAAATGTACCAAACAAATTAACTATCGAAACTATCGATAGTTAGACAAACTATCGCCAATAGTATCGATTGTTTCAAGTTGCAATCGATAGTGTACTATCATGATCTATCGCAATCAATCGATAGTTCGATGTATCGTTACACCACTATTGAAAACTATCGATATTTATCGCAATAGTTGCTTGCAATATCAATAGTTATCAGAATAGTTTCTTTCAATATCAATAGTTATCGCAATAGTGATTGCCACACCAATAGTCACCCCTATCAGCAACCCATGCTTGCCGTAAAAGGTGACTATGCTTGTCGTAAGAGGCGACTAACAGGATCGGGTGGTCAGACTCCCTGACTTGGTTGATGCATGTCATCGATCCAAGTTGCATGGATCGATGCTCATGATCTCAATCACTGGATTGTCTGGTCCAGACTCGATTATTTACAGACCGCCGTCATATAGCTGGAATATTGCTGAGTGCGGCGTTAAACAACAAACCAACCAACCAACCAACCAACCAACCAACCAACCAACATATGGTTATACGGTGGGGATCTTAACTGTGTCCAAGTCATAAACTCTTTTTAGCCCCACCCCTTAGTCCCCAGAGGTGGGGGTAGGGTTCAGCCCCTCCATTTCTCCAGTTGGAATTCCCACCATTGGAGAATGCTTCCAACCAAATATGGTAGATAATTATCTTGTAGTTCCAGAGAGGAAGCGGTTTAAAGCATAACGCCAAATTACCCCTATTTGGCCCCGCCCCTCAGCATTTGTACAATTGAATTCCCACCACCTAGGGTCAACCCTGAAATGTCAACCCTACAAAGGAACTACACTGAAGACCGCCTATGGCTCAGATGACATAATGTAAGTAATGTTTGACATCATAAACAATGGATGACGTCATATCAATTACTTCTCAACATGAGTGAGTGAGTGAGTTTGATTTTACGCCGCTTTTAGCAATATTCCAGCAATATCACGGCGGGGGACACCAGAAATGGGCTTCACACATTGTACCCATGTTGGGAATCGAACCCAGGTCTTCAGCGTGACGAGCGAACGCTTTAACCACCAGACTACCTGACCTCCCCACTCCTCTACATGAAGCACTGTGACAGTATGTCTTCAACTGACCAATCAGCATTGAGAATCACTATTAGTACATGTGCAAGTATTGGAAAGTTATAACGCACGACCACTTTACCCTTATTAGTAATACTGTATTCGAAGTAATAAGCGCCCCGCTCTAATAAGCGCCCATGGTGAGATTTGCTAATATTTTGGCTAGTGAACAATCCCAATTAGCACCCCTTCCGACCCCTATTCGCATATAATGCGCACTCATGTGTTATATGCACCCTTTATTATTTGCAATTAAATTCTGGAAAAATATATCTGTCGTACATAAACATTTCAGGCTGTCAGCATAAACCACGAAATTTATCTTTCAACTTGACTGTTTTTTTCACCAAAATAATATTCTAATAAGAGCCCCCTATTTCTAGTTTTGAGAGCACCCTGGGCGCTTATTACGTCGAATACGGTATTCAGAATTCTTACAGCAGGGTCCAGCATGAATGGCAATCACACTGCAGCTACGTAGTGAACTAAATGAGTCAATGACACTCCAGCCACATGGCTGGCTACCCCTTACTGGCCTTAGTCTAAGATAAAAGCGTTGCAATCGCTGGTCGACTCACTTGATGGCGTTTGAGCATGTCAAGGCCCAGCAGCATATCCATAGGCTGGTCCTCCAATATGGAAAACGATGACTGATGGTAGTCTGGTCCGATCTGTATCTGACCTGAAATAGAGGTGTATCTATTATATTCCTCCACAAGAATTGGTTCTGGTCTAGTGCAAAACTTATCTATACACTAACAATACCTTATTTTCTGACTTTTTGGCTAGTGTTGGTCCAGGCCCCTTCATCCAACACACATGAACTTATTCTAGTCATAACTCTAAATAAAAATCCCAAAAACATAACATAGACACACGACGACGATGCCAGGTGTTTGTTTGTTTGTTGTTTAACGCCGCATTCAGCAATATTCCAGCTATATGACGGCGGTCTGTAATAATCAAGCCTGGACCAGACAATCCAGTGATTGACATCATGAGCATCGATTTACGCCATTGGGATACGATGACATGCATCAACCAAGTCAGCGAGTCTGACCACCCGATCCCATCCCTCTTAAGATAAGCATATTCGCCTTTTATGGCAAGAATGGGTTGCTGAAGACCTTTTCTACCCCGCATCAGGAGAGCTCCAATTTCATTATACTCAGCAGATGCATGTCATCGTATCCCAAATGCCTGGATTGATTCTCATGATATGAATCACTGGATTGTCTGGTCCAAACTTGATTATTTACAGACCGCTGTCATATAGCTAGAATATTGCTGAGTGCGGCATTCAATAACAAACAAATAAATGATTATACTCAGATATTCTACTCCAATATGATACCTGTCGGCCTCCAGATCTGAGAACACCAGATGAACCATGAGTAAAGTTTGACCACCCAATCAAAACGAAGGCTACGTTGCTTCTTGAGCCAATCAGATGTCAGCAAACATGACCTCTCATGGAGGTGTGTCCTCAGCTCTTCACACAGAGAGATCTGATTTTAATGAGATAGACTTATGCTCCAACACTGTCTCACATGTTTCATAATGGCTTATCTTAGAAAAACATAATCTTAACCATGTTAACTGGTTTTTAGCACAAGCATATCAATCAATCTCATTAAAATCAGATCTTAGTTCTCGCTACCGCTAAACAAAGATCTGAGGACATCCCATTACGGGTCACGTCAGAACGACCTTTCATCTAACCAATCAGACCGTCACTTACCAGATCCTGAAAGAGACAGTCGGAATGTGTTTTCTAATCATGCAACCACGAAATATTTAACACGGGGTATTCCAAACGACAGTTACGGGTTTTATGATTATATCCATACAATCTAGGCCATCTATAAGCCATTCCAGAATGTTGTTTTGGTCAGTTTTAACTTTTGCAATCGAGAATACGTTAAAATATGTTTCAAAGCGTAGTTGCCAGTTTGAAACTAGTGCCAAAAAGCTCGAGAAAGGTGCCTTCTGATTGGCTAATGTCGATTGATTGTCAGTCATTTCATTGGTAGGTCAATATTCGCGAAAAGTCGTTCTGACGTGACCCGTAAAGGTATCTTTGGTTAGCGGTAGCGAAAACTAAAATCAGAATTTAATGAGATTGGCATATCAATATGCTGATAATACATAATCTTAAATGAAGATTACTAAAATATGAAACAGACTCTGAACACTCCACTGATGAGGTATACGATCTGTGCCCAACACTTTATTTACTAACCAAAAGCCTATTACATGATTAAACCAAAAGCTTAATTTGACTCAGGTCTTTGGAGAGTGATTGAAAACTGCAGAAAGCCAACACCCACGACTCACATAAATGAACTCGTCCAATGATTCTCTGTGTCCCAACGCCCTTGGCGATGCCTGCCCACCTCTTGTCCACCAGTCTCATGATGTTACACCTTTCCGCACAGGCCTGGCTCATGATGGTCATCTGGGCACCTGGCGTCAACAGATAGATAGATATTCTTTATTTCCTCCAGATATTGAAGATACATATCATATATGATATTATGTATAATTACAGAGCTGTACAGTAGTACAATTTAACAATATTATTAGAAATGATAACTACAAAATGCATGACAATCAAGCATTCTTATAACTGTTTTGTAACAGATACAGCCATTTCCTACAATGTCTTGACACAATAACCATAAGGTCACCCCATAGACTTTGAGATAAAGAGCTAACACACTCAGGCATACCGCCTAGTAGTACAGACAGGATTATATCATCATCCTCACTACATAGTCTAGCAAATGTAGAGACATCTATCACATCACAAATGATTTCAAATAGTTGATGGCTCATGATGGTCATCTGGGCACCTGGCGTCAACATGAAATGTCAATTTACTCTGCCGGACATACGGGCAGTATCGACACGATGGGGTTGTGATATGGTACATATCCCTATACTGTGGGTGTGATACAATTGTATCCTGATACATTACTTTTGAATCACAAGCTGATATTCTTTCTTTTTGCAGGTGAATCACAACCCTGAATCATTTGGTTCTAAAATTCAGAGACTGAAGATGTGATATCGTTGGGCAGAAACACATAGGTTAGAGGACACTGTAAATGTTAAGCTATTGATAGCCAAATGGGAAAAGCTAGATAAGCTGGTTGTTGAACAGTTTCTGTTAATTTTAACATTTTTCTACGCCAACATAACTTAATGTAATGTATTGTACGTATCGCGATACGGGGGTTGTAAATCGATGCTTTGTATTATTGGCCTTGTTTTGTTAAACACTTTTCCTGTTATATCATGGCGTGGCAGCTTACTAACACGATACTTGACCCACGATCGCGATACTTGACTCAAGATACACGATACAAGTGTGCCTATTTATTGATACGCCATGATATGGAACGCAAATCTTAAGTACAAAGTTCCCTTGCTACTGCACCCTTCAATAAAGCCCTAAATCGGTTATAACACGTGGTAATGCATGTTTTACACTGACACAATGTTTTTCCCCATCTCAATAAAACATTATCAGCTGGTAACACAGGAAATACCAGTCGACATCAAAGTACAGCCTTGCTTGCACGGGTATGGTGATGACAAACCTAGGAACATAACTGGGGCAATCTTGATTCGAACCCATGATCATTGGTTTCTGGAATGCCCAAGGGATGTTACTCTGCACATTACAGTAACCATGGTGATAATTGATTGGGTACCAGGCGACAACATGTCACATCATTCACCTGACTTCCAAGAATTTTACTGCTGTCTCCCCCACCCCAACTTGCAAATTAAATTATTATGTCCATTCTCATTTCTTATGTGGTAAAATTCAAGGAGAGGGGGGCACGTGTGGCCCAGTCGTGTAAGGTGCTGCGATTCGCTGTGCAGAGTTGCGTCCCCTGGACACGCCAGAAACCTAGGATTGTGGGTTCGAATCCTGGTTATGTTTCTTGGTTTGTCAGCATCATACCCACGCTCGTGGGTGTCACCGAAGCGGTAAACAACTGAGACCTGCATCACTTCGGGCTTTCCTCCAACATTAAGCTGACATGCTGCGATATAACTGGAATACTGTTAAACCCAGCTCACTCACTAGGAGAGCTTAATACACACAATAAAATATTTAGACATGCACATTGACTTCAAGAGAAATCACAAATGAAAACCCAGTGACACTGACCCTGTAGACAATGGCACAAGAGGTCTTGTGTAGCCACTATAAACTAACCTTTTGTACATACAGCAATTGGCATGGAGTTATTACGACTGCCGAACACTTGATGCACTGTGACAGTTTGCACCACACTACAAGTACCTTATCAACAGATCACGTATCAATACCAACGATACAAGTATACACAAGAGTGACGTAATGCGGTATGAACATACATTACAAAATGCTATTTCCCCACTTGTATTCACAAGGTCTTAACATGCTTAAGCCAATGACTGATCCAGATCTGCTAAATAAGTTTCATAATGAAAATATTTCTCAACACGTCAATTATAGAGCTTTCATGTATCGTATCACAACCTTACTCTCAAGACGTGTCAATCACAACAGTGTGTACAGGGTTAGAAACTAACAGCTTTTGTCCACTAGTCCTTATAATGATAACATATAGCAAAACCCTTGAAATGGGCCAATTTCTACTAGTCCTTAGGATACCTTTACTATTAGGCAGTTTGGTAAGGACTACAGGACTAATGCCAATTTCTAACGTTGCAGTGTATTGTAAGAGCCCTAGTTACTACCTGAGTCTACAAATGCCTTGACAGCGTGTCCGTTCACCGTGCAGTCCACATATAACATGACCACCTGTCCGAAGCTCTCAGGGGCAAACTCCATGGCAGTTTCCATGTTGGATTCAACATTCTTTAATCTGAAAAATACAAAAAGCATTCTAATGAGTGAGTGAGTGAGTGAGTTGGGCTTAATGCCGATTTTAACATTATTCCAGTTATATCACGGCGTGTCAGCTTAATGTGGGAGGAAACCCTGAAGTGATGCAGGTCTCAGACGTTTACCACTTCGGTGAAACCCACGAGCTCGGGTATGTTGCTGACAAACCAAGAAACATAATCGGGGCGAACCGGGATTTGAACCCACAATCATAGGTTTCTGGCGTGCCAAGGGATGCAACTCTACACAGCGAATCGCGACGCCTTAGACGACTGGGCCACCCGTGCCCCCAACAAGCATTCTAACATACATCATTTTACTTGACAGTCATGTTTGTTTAACGCCACACGCAGCAATATTTCAGCTATATGACGGCGGTCTGTAAATAATCGAGTCTGGACCAGACAATAAAGTGATTGACATCATGAGCATCAATCCATGCAATTGGGATCAATGACATGCATCAACCAAGTCAGCAAGCCTGACCGCCCGATCCCGTTGGTCGCCTCTAACCATAAGCATAGTCGCCTTTTACGGCATGCATGGGTTGCTGAAGATTTATTCTACCCCGGATTTTCGCGGGTCCAAAGTAGTTATGTAGGTAATGCCTCGCTTATCACCTGCTGTCACTAAACGGAACACTTTGAAAGGTTGAGAGATCCTAATGACAGCATATGTGTTTCCTCCTACTTAGGGACCGACAAACTGATATTCATTGGTGGGGTGGTGGGGTGGTGGGGATGGTGTTGTGTGGTGTTTTTGCAGCAAAACTACTGCAATGCAAAACCAGATATTTTTTTATTAAACTCATGAGCCTGGGAAAAAAACACCTTGGTCACAAAGACATTTTTGTGGCAGACAAAAATCATTTCCAATTCTCTGAAGCATAAATTTTTCTCTCACTTTGTTTTCTCCACAAAATAACTGTGACTGACCATGTTGACTGTGACATCATAATATTTACTTAAGTATGGAGAAAATAGGATCTGGATAAATCTCAAAATAGGAGCTCCCAATGTGTATTGCAACACAGATACCTGTATCATAATATACTGAGGCTGGTCAATAAGTGACATGAGGCTGGTCAATACGTAACATGAGGCTGGTCAATACGTAACATGAGGCTGGTCAATAAGCATGATAAGTGACATGAGGCTGGTCAATACTTGACATGAGACTGGTCAATACTTGAAATGAGGCTGGTCAATAAGCATGATAAGTGACATGAGGCTGGTCAATAAGTGACATGAAGCTGGTCGATAAGTGACATGAGGCTGGTCAATACGTGACATGAGGCTGGTCAATAAGCATGATAAGTGACATGAGGCTGGTCAATAAGTGACATGAAGCTGGTCGATAAGTGACATGAGGCAGGTCAATACGTGACATGAGGCTGGTCAATAAGCATGATAAGTGACATGAGGCCGGTCAATAACTGACATGAGGCTGGTCGATAAGTGACAAGAGGCTGGTCAATAACTGACCTTATTTCTTCTGCAATCTGTCTCTGTGCATCTGCATCAAAGGGGTCGGCAGTGGCAAGGCGTATGCGTTCCTTCTCCTTCTCTTGGCGTTCCTGTTGTTGCTTTACAAATACTTCACGAAATTTCTCTATAATAAAAATGAATCATCTTACGTCATTTAGAATAGGATAATGGATATTTCATATAGATGTATACACCAAAATACATGATACAATCTGTCCTCAAAGTTGACATTTGCGATGTGTCTGCCTGAGTTGCCATGTTTAAAGACAGATCAGAATTCTGGGAGCGGTGTTAAGCAACACCATAGCTGGGTTATTCCTACAGAGCTTCAACTCCATAGGCCTTGTAGTGGAGATGTTGAAAATGTAAAATTTACTACAGACTAAGTACCACAAAATAAGCAGATAAGATCACTTAGCTCTTAGTGAGGGAAACAGTTCATCAACATGATCAATCTTCCCAATGCCTTTATAAAAGACTATCAACAAACCACCAAAACTAAAACTTCAACAACATCAGGATACTGACATGTAATCAGCAAAGTCACAGCTTCTGACTTCCCTATTCCAATTTTGTCAATTCTTTTGTATTTTATTGGTTTGTTGTTGAGCGTCACATTCAGCAATATTCCAGTGATCTGACAACATCCTGGAAGTAATCAAATCTGGACTGATATTATGAGCAAAGCTTCATGTTGTTGGGCTGTGGTGACATGCTATCAACCATGTCACCACCTGATCCACAAAGTCACCCTGTATAGGATACCGTAGAACAATTTCTAGCCTGAAATCAACCACATGGGGGTACTAGTGACCTACCCTTACACAACCTTGATTTGTCACAGGATGCCAACAGGAAGCACAAACACCATATACCGTATTCAACTTAATAAGTGCCCAGGGCGCTCTCAAAATTAAAAATAGGGGGCTCTTATTAGAATATTATTTTGGTGGAAAAAAACAGAGTTGAAAGCCTAAAATGTTTATGTACGACAGATATATTTTTCCAGAATTTAATTGCCTTTACTTATGGGTGCATATAACACGAGTGTGTATTATACGCGAATAAATAAGTCTTGTGTACATTGATCAATCGGAAGGAGTGCTAATTGGGATTGTTCACTAGCCAATATATCAGCAAATGTCACTGTGGGCGCTTATTAGAGCGGGGCGCGTATTACGTTGAATACGGTACCTCCTGTATTGATATCCTAAGCATCTCATAGGGTGTGCCCTCTAGTCTGGCCAAAACAAATGTGTGCCAATAACTCAAACTTTGATTCAAGTAATTCAACATACCTGGTTTTCCACTTGCAAGAGCATCAGCAAGTGGAGGATTCCGCTCTTTGAGCAGCGCCACCTGGTGAGGATTTGAAAGCAGCATCTGGCGGATAAAGTCGGGGTCCTCCATCATGGCAGCTGTTGGCTGTTGCTGTTGTTGTTGCTGGGCGGGTCTTGGTGCTGCAGCCGGTCCGGCACCAGGGATGTGAATACTGCCAAAGTCAATCTGTGGCAGAGCTGGGAGGACAAAGGTGAGGGAGATGGGATAATAACAGTGTCACTTTGAAGAGCATTCAGGCACATATCTCGGATTTCAAAATTACCATAAGTAGGATCAAGACAAGTAAAATTCAGGCAGGACTAGTGGCATTTCCTTATGGACTGCCAATTTGCCATTTGTTTTTGTGGACTAGCGAAAATACAAAATAAACTCTAGCAGGATCCCCATGATCACTCGGGGTACATGGCGTATTATGTGTCCTGCGGAGGCGAGTACTCTAAAACCTAACAAGGGAAGCATACAACCACATGTTCCCCGAGTAATCCTGCTACAACGAATTTATCTTACCGACATGTTTTATAATGACATTGTAAAATAATTCAAATTGATAGAAAACAGCTGCTCGATTGGGCTGGGGCTAGCTTGCGCTATGTCACGTGACATCCATTGGCTCGGGAAAAGCGTGTGGCTTTTTGCTTTGAGCAGGGTATAAGAGATCTGTTCCCCCTCTGAGAAATATATTCCCCTCGTAGGTGGGTTGCACAGTATTTTATCAAGATCACGTGGACCAATCAAATCTCAACATTCTGACATGTAGATTGATAAAATAATATCTAACCCTGAACATACTGTTGTGTCACCTAAGGCCCCCTGAAAAAATGTGTGACCTATTTCACACTGCAACAAATACTTTAGTTATTGAAGCAAAGTTGATGGCCATGGATACTTATGCGATGTTCTAGGTTTTGCCTGCGAAAGTGAATGTGCAATAATTTCATTAACCGAGTACAATACATTTGAAACGGCACATTTCATTGTTTTGAAAAATTACAATTCCCAATCAGACATTTTGTACACAACTCTCGAGACCAACATCATTGTAGAGTTGACAGCCAGGTCGGGTACATGGGTAGTAAATTTGGAAATGTCCCAGTCGCAGTTCTCATCATATATGTCACTGCTTGTAATAGTTTCATAACCCTAATGTAGGGCTGGGACGAGTCCAAATTTAATACCTGGGTACCCACCCCCCTATTACCGACCCTACCCGGATACCCACTATAGGTCTCATAAGGTAGGTACAAACTGTCCGATTGAGAAAAGTTTGACAGTAGTCCTGGTAAAATGTGTTTAGATACACGTATAAAACGATCTGGTGTATACACTGAAGTTTACTGCAGTTTTATTTTTATTCAAACATACAAAAGTCAGAAGGAATGGGCGAAGTTGTCAGAAAGAACTGCGAACATTAGTGACTTATAGTGTAACCTTAGAGTTCTAGATAATTTTTTGTCTTTAACGATATATCACGTGACTAACCACGGGTCCGGGTAGTCCTATGGGTACCCGAGTACTACTCATTACCAAACCCTTCCCGAGTACCCGAGTTACCCTTCCAAGCCCTACCTTAATGTTACAAATTGAAGACCCTAGGTTCCGTAGATTCAAACAGCTGTATGGTCGCATGAATTACAACACTGGTATTTCTGTTATATCATGGGGTGCAGGCTAAAACGGCACCTCAGCAAAACGTCACCGATTTCTCTGGCGAAAACGGCACCGCATTTCGCGAAAACGGCTACTATGAGTCGGGCGAAAACGGCACCTCTATTTTTAATAACGATAACAACGATTTTTGTAGTAATATATAGGGTTTATTTACATGGTATTTTATTAGTGATGTATTTACATTTCCTCTTTTCAGAGATATAAGTAAATATAGTATTTGATTGGTGATTTACACTGTATTTCCTCTTTTCGGTAAATATGTTCATATATACATGTCCATCTTCATCATCATCATCATCATCATCATCATCCTCTTCACAAAATTGGTCCATAAACAACAGAACATTGTGAAAGTACTTGGGTCAGGGAGAGATCCCCATCCTTGTATCTTCGCCATACGTCGAAGATCTCCTCTTGACGAGATGTTGAAGATTTGCGAACATACGCTCTGAGTCGTCCCTCCTGAATCAGTAGCGACTGTAGAGGCAACAGACTGGCCTCTCGGAACAGCTCTGGGATCAATCTGTAGATCCCCAGGGACTGCTCACCCACCTTGTTGTTGATGCGTCAGAGTCGGTGAGTAAATTGGAGTAGGGGGCTAATTTCTTATTTGTTTTATTTCACAATTATTTGTGTTTGTAAGAGATGATGTGAGTTTAATTTCTATTATTTTTCTTCAAAGCATGTTATGTTTTCACAATAAGTTGAGTTGCGTATAAGCTAAGTTGGATTATAGTTGGAGTAGAGGCTAATTTCTAATGAAACTTGTTTTAACGTCTCACAATTATTGGCGTTTGCAAGTTACAATGTAAGAATAATATCATTTATTTGACCAAGGTAAAAAAAAAAAAAAAAGGTGCCGTTTTCGCTTGAGTCGAGGTGCCGTTTTCGCCCGAGTCGAGGTGCCGTTTTCGCCCGGTGACGTTTTGCTGAGGTGCCGTTTTCGCTATAACCCATATCATGCCATGTATGCTTGATGTGGGAGGAAAGCCAAAAATGATGCTGGTCTTAGACGTTTATCACACCCAGCATAGGTATGGTGCTGATAAGCCAAGAAACATAAGGCAAATCTGGTTTTCAAATCCATGATCATTGGATTCTGGGGTGTAAACTCTATTAACATATTTATTTTTTTGTATCATATGCAGATAACTATGTCGGAAATAGACTTGTTTCAGAATGTGCTGGAAGGCCACATCACTATGGAAATACCCGTATCTATAAATAATCATGACTCAAGTTAGCAAATTAATAATATGAATTGCTTCATTGTGCAGAAGACTATGTTAACTGATATCATAAATATTACTCTCCTCACCAAACTATCGTCTGCTACTGTTGCCATTTGGAAACTTTTGATCGACTTGACAAATGGTTATGGGTCTTGGAAATGATTCAATGAAAAACAGTGAGTACCTCCAGCCCCTGCCGACGACTGACCAGACGCGGCCTGACCGCCAGCTCTCTGTCCGCTGCGCATCTGCTGTAACAACAGGACATCTCCATTCTTAATTCCGTATTGTTTTAACGTTTGTTTTTCATCTTGAAGCGGACGTCCATTCCAAAGAACAGCAATTTCGTTCGATGATATGCCGGTCTCGAATTCACACAAAGCTTTGAAGTTTTCGAGTTCCAAATCCTCACTGACATCGAGAGTGAAAATGTCGTCAGATAATGTGGTTATTGTCAGTTGCATTGTTTGTGAAGAACCAGAAATACACTGAAATCCCCACCAACGTTAACGACACCGTGCCTGTGATCACAATGCACTTCCGGTGTTTACTTTCTGTTTCGCGCATGTCCACCTCAGCCTGAGCATGCCGGGTAACTAAAAAGGCCCTGATTGGGTTTTACCAGATGTTTATTTTAGGGTTGTAGATTGTGTTTGCAGATGGGACAAACGGCTATCTGTTCATGGGCGGATACAGCTTTTTTTTAAAGGGGGGGGGGGGGGGGGGGGGGGGGTGCGCCACCGCCTCCCCTCTGTATCCGCCCATGCTGTTCCATCAAAAAACCTAACCATATGTATGATACTTAACAGGATCAAAATCATATGTCTAAAATGATATAGAACTGAAAAAGGCCCCTGGCACAGTAGATCAGATGTAACAATTTGCTATGTTTCATTTTGTGGTGAAGCGCTCAATTGTTGTTTTCTATTTTCCATTTTTCAGATTCTTGCAGTTTAAAAACAAATACATCGGTCAAAGCATAGTGAAAATATTTGTGTCGTGGGTGTTGTTATTTCATTGTAATATACGAGGTAGCATTGTGAGATTTTAGGTGCGCCTCAGATTGTAACTATCCGAGGTATTTTAGGGTTAATTTTGTGGCTGCAAAGTACTTCAGCATGTGTGTCGTTGCTGTTTGTCTTGAAGACGGGATACTTATCTGGGACACACATTTCATTAAATTACGGATTTTTTCAGATGTTTGGGTCCACCTTTCAGACACTGTTACAAACTATTTGTGATTTAAAGAAGTCAAGTTGGTCCCTTATGTTGTGGCGAGCCACGTGTCATCTCATCCAGTTTCCTGTAAGATTTAAGAACTCGTTGAGCATCAAAACCAGTGGTCGATAGTGTGAGCATCGAATATGACGAAACACTAGATGAGATAGAGGTACATTTGGTCTTTCCGGCAAGAATCGCGTGACGGTTGACCTTGTCTTTTCGGTGTGAGTGAGTGAGTGAGTATGGTTTTACGCCGCTTTTAGCAACATTCCAGCAATTTCACGGCGGGGGACACCAGAAATGGGCTTCACACATTGTACCCATGTCGGGAATCGAACCCGGGTCTTCGGCGTGACGAGCGAACGCTTTAACCACTAGGCTACCCGACCGTCCCTCTGTTCGGTGTGACGTCAGATGAATGGTTTGAACCCATGCAATTCAAACAGCAAATCAATAAAGGAATACCATTTTATATCAACCAGGGCACTGACCTTTCCAAATGTTAAGAACGTAAAGGAAAGGAAACCAAACAAAATGAGACAGTTTTATCTTTATTTGTAACATTTAATCTAGGTTCTACAGAGAGGAATTATGGCACCAATCACGGCGGACGATGGCATCACGTCTCTCTCTTGTTACGGTAACCACGAGGAGATATCATCACTCATCCGCACTGCATATCAATTCTATTAAATCTCAGGAATTAAAGCCGAGTTACTTGTTGAGAGCTGTTACCATGGTTACTGACCGCTCCGTCATCGCATGACTCACTCCTTGATTCACGTGAATCGGAGACAATGATCCCCGGTCCGTGGCTTGTTTTGTCGCCCAAGTCACCAGAGAGGTCAAACCCGGCGTTGATTACTCCATTTATCGACGTGTTCAGATCCGACGTTTCAAATGAACGTTGACGGCGTGCAGTGTCGTCTTCTGGTGTTTCAGTTCCTTTGTTCCTGTTCTGGGCACCTGTCGTACTAGTCGATGAGACGTCGACACCGGAAGTGACGGAGGGGATGACGTCAGTAGGGACCTCCTTGGCCCAGTCCTGTTCCTTTCCGCTGCCAAAGACGAGGAAGACAACGTCAGCGGCCATGACGATACCCGCTGTCAGGAAGAACACCCGCTGCCACTGTTCCCGTGTTCTCTGGAACATTTGAGTAAATGAACGTTGTTTTACGTGGCGTCAAGCTATATGACAGTGACCTTCACCTTCTCGAGGAGCGGTAGGGTAGCCTAGTGGTTAAAGCGTTCGCTATTCACGCCGAAGGTCTGGGATCGTTCCGCACATGGGTACAATGTGGGAGCCCATTTCTGGTGTCAGCCGCCTTGATATTGCTGTAATATTGCTAAAAGCGGCGTAAAACCATACTCACTCAAATAGTCGAGCCTAGGCCAAGCGAACCGGAAGAGCAACCACCCACGCCGTCGGGGCGCGATGCCGATCAGACAGATCACGTGATAACCACGAGATCCTCATTTCACTCTTACGACAGTCACAGGGCGTTGTTTATAAGAGAAGACAAAAGCATAGTTCATACATCAACTCTGAGAGTGAGTGTTTAATAGTTGGGGCTATAATTCCCCTTTAACAGTATTCCAGTTATACCGTGGCGAGTTAGTTTGATGTGGTAGGAATGCCCGAAGTGATGCAGCTGGATCGTGTGCCACTTTGTTGATACCCACCAGTACGTTAATTATGGTGCTGACACACCAGTGTCATAAGCGGGGCAAAGCTAGAATTCGAACCCACTATCACCGGATCCTAGCATGTCTAAGGGACGCAACTCTGAACAGCGAGTAGCACCTCCCCAGGCCTTCGAAGTACTACCCGATCTAATAATAGGTGTATATGAAATTATCTGTTATTGTTTTGAATGCATAGATACTGTAAGATCAACAACGTGTCCTTTGTTATACGCTTTACATTGACTATAAACATTGAAGCATTTTGTATGCTCCTGATTAAACGAGAAAGTGCTTGTTTATCATTTGAACTGTTTTACAAACTTGATTTTTCAGAATCCAGATTTATTTTTACAGAATATTAATTTCTACGGGCCTCTTACATCTATTGTCATGGCGGAGATGACGAGGGGGGATATGATGGCTGCACAGCACCCACACGTCAGGGTGAAGCCCATCACCTGGCCAGCATACCTGAAACATACCACACCATTATACCTGAAACATACCACACCATATACCTGAAACATACCACACCATTATACCTGAAACATACCACACCATTATACCTGAAACATACCACACCATTATACCTGAAATATACCACACCATATACCTGAAACATACCACACCATATACCTGAAATATACAACACCATTATACCTGAAACATACCACACCATTATACCTGAAACATACCACACCATTATACCTGAAATATACCTCACCATATACCTGAAACATACCACATCATATACCTGAAATATACCACAGCATTATACATGAAACATACCACACCATTATACCTGAAACATACCACACCATTATACGTGAAACATACCACACCATTATACCTGAAACATACCACACCATTATACCTGAAACATACCACACCATATACCTGAAACATACCACACCATTATACCTGAAACATACCACACCATTATACCTGAAACATACCACACCATATACCTGAAACATACCACACCATTATACCTGAAACATACCACACCATTATACCTGAAAAATACCACACCATATACCTGAAACATACCACACCATTATACCTGAAACATACCACACCATTATACCAGAAACATACCACACCATTATACCTGAAATATACCACACTATTATACCTGAAACATACCACACCATATACCTGAAACATACCACACCATATACCTGAAACATACCACAACATTATACCTGAAACATACCACACCATTATACCTGAAACATACCACACCATTATACCTGAAACATACCACACCATTATACCTGAAACATACCACACCATATACCTGTAACATACCACACCATTATACCTGAAACATACCACACCATTATACCTGAAACATACCACACCATTATACCTGAAACATACCACACCATATACCTGAAACATACCACACCATTATACCTGAAACATACCACACCATTATACCTGAAACATACCACACCATATACCTGAAACATACCACACCATTATACCTGAAACATACCACACCATTATACCTGAAACATACCTCACCATATACCTGAAACATACCACACCATTATACCTGAAACATACCACACCATTATACCTGAAAAATACCACACCATATACCTGAAACATACCACACCATTATACCTGAAACATACCACAACATTATACCTGAAACATACCACACCATTATACATGAAACATACCACAACATTATACATGAAACATACCACACCATTATACCTGAAACATACCACAACATTATACCTGAAACATACCACACCATTATACCTGAAACATACCACACCATTATACATGAAACATAGCACACCATATACCTGAAACATACCACACCATTATACCTGAAATATACCTCACCATATACCTGAAACATACCACATCATATACCTGAAACATACCACAACATTATACCTGAAACATACCACACCATCCTACCTGAAACATACCCCATCATATACCTGAAACATACCACACCATCCTACCTGAAACATACCACACCATTATACCTGAAACATGCCACACCATTATACCTTAAACATAACCTGAAACATGCCTCAAAATTATATCTGAAACATACCAGAACGTCATAGCAGAACGTCATACCACACCATTATACCTGAAACATACCACACCATTATACCAGAACGTCATACCTCACCATCATACCTGAAACTAACCACACCATTATACATGAAACATACACCATTATACCTGAAACATACCACACCATTATACCAGAACGTCATACCACACCATTATACATGAAACATACCACACCATTATACACGAATCATACCACACCATCATACCTGAAACATACCAGTACGTCAATGTTCTTATGTGTGCTTGTTTAGCTCACCTCGGCGCTATATCGAGGTGGTTGACCCTGAAGGAAGCCATGGTGAAGGCCTGTGTTGTCATGGTGATCACCATCAGCCCTACTGCCAACATTCTCTGGTCAGAGGTCAGGTAGCTGAGGCCAATCAGCAACCCTCCCGGCACAAATGTACCTGTACATTTCATAAATCTATAAACTGTAACGTCTTTATAAACTTCCTGTGACGTCAATATTAACTTTCAAGAGTTCTGTAGGTTCTGGAATGAACCATTTTATACCCACATTGAATGTGACTTGACACATATTGCACGTGCATGGGCTAAACCAATGGTTGTTTTCAGCCCTGGGTTTGGGGGAGCTCTTTCCATCACCTTCAACCTTGCACTTTTCTTTGCTTTTAACAGTCGGACATTTTTCCAGTTTCATAAAACAAAAACCCAATGAGTGTGACATAGGCCTAAAAAGCATTTTCTTCCACTTGTTATCACATTGCCAACATACTCAAACCGAGTGAGTGAGTGAGTGAGTGAGTGGGTGGGTGGGTGGGTGAGTGAGTGAGTGAGTGAGTGAGTGAGTATGGTTTTACGCCGCTTTTAGCAATATTCCAGCAATATCACGGCGGGGGACACCAGAAATGGGCTTCACACATTGTACCCATGTCGGGAATCGAACCCGGGTCTTCAGCGTGACGAGCGAACGCTTTAACCACTAGGCTACCCGACCGCGCCTCTCAGACCTAGTTACGCTTCTTGACCTATGTACAAGTTTTACACCCCACATACCTATGTGTCCCTTAAAAAACGAGACCGCCTCCGTGGTTTAGTGGTAGAGCGTCCGCCCGGAGAGCGGAAGGTCCAGGGTTCGATCCCCGGCCGCGTTATACAAAAAGACGTTTAAAGATGGTACTTGTTGTTACCCTGTCTGGCGCTCGGCATTAGGGGGCTAAAACAAGGACTGGTCGGCTCGGAGTCAGTATACTGTGTCTGAGTGGGGTATTCATGTTAAACTGCGGCATGGTATCTCAGTGTGCTAGCACTATAAATCAGCATCAGTCCGGACTAGTACAAGCAGCCACAAACACAAACACACACACGTACATGCACGTCGCTATATAAGTGCAATAATCTTGGACGCGACGTCAAACCCCATTTCACCTCACCTTAAATAATGATGGAGTATATATAACACCGTGAGAACTTTATCTTCTCATTAACTATTCTTAAAATAATACCCGCTGCTAGAAATCGAACCCATGACATCGCTTATTATTCTCGGCGACCGTTTACGTTTATAAAAAATATGTACATAGGTATTCAATAATTAAAAGATAAAAAGTGTGTTTATACGTTTTCGATAAAACACTCGGTTTAAAACGCTTATCTTCGGAAGAAAATCTCGGAGCTTGCGTCTTTTAAATCTTTGAACTCTTACTAGGATTCAGACCTGATTTATCCTTGACAAAAATAAATCGATATTCCTATTGGGCGACACATTGTCAATATACATGTAGTGTGACATTGTTATATTAATATAGTGTGGCACATTGTCAGTATACGAGAGCTGGTCAAAAAGTTCTAATCCTGACTAACTTTTAACTATAGGCCATAACAAAGTGAACTAGTCAATGTAGTACAGTGTGTGAGTAGTACATTGCAAGTATGTTTGGTCTGTTGGGGCCGTTTGTTTCTTAGTGACAGTCAGTTGAACGTGATAGGGGTCCAAATGGACACAGAAATGGAATAGAACGAGTAACGAGCAGTCATCAAGTTTTTGACTTCAAAGAACTTCATGACCATATGTGACAAGTGTATTGGGATAAGTGCCCTAGCTATTCCACTGTTAAACGTTGGTCAGCTATGTTTAAGGCTGGAGAGATCAAGCCTTGATGATGACTTCTATCAATGAAGATTAAAAAAATGAGATAGAAAAAAACTTATACTATCAGATAGACGTATTACCATTGATGAACTTTAGGAAGACACAGGTCTAAGCCATGTTTCCACTGAAACCTATTCATGAACATTTACAGATGAATAATATATCTGCTTGTTGGGTGCCATAGTTTCTAAATTCTGATCTTAAGGAAAGAAATAACTGACATTGCCAGAGAAGATTTAGAGCTAATTAAGGAGGATTACGTCATATTCAAAAAGGGATTAGTAAAGGGTGATGAAACATTGGTATGCCACTATGATCCCGAGTCAAAACGTCAATCCATGGAATGGCACCATTCCACTTCTCCGGCATCAAAGAAATTCAGGTCTTCAAGATCAGTGAAGATAGTTATGGCCACTGTATTCTGGGACACAAAGTGTGTGATCCTGGATGATTACTTAGAAAGTCAAAAGACGATAACCGGTGTCTGCTATGCTGATTTGCGTTATCGCCTGAGAGATCATATCAAAGAAAAACGGAGAGGAATGCTGACTGCTGGAGTCCTACTACTTCATGACAATGCCTTTTCACACACCTCTCGACCTGCAAAGGCTGCCGTGCGACAATGTGGATTCGAAGTGCTTCCTCACTCTCCATACTCGCCAGGCTTGGCACTAAGTGATTTCCATCTGTTTCCTTAACTGAAAGATCACCCTCATGGAAAGCGCTATGACGACAACGATGACCACAAGGCGCCGTGAATGGATTTTTCAGGGTGGTTTCAGAAAACGTTTTCCTGACTGGAACTGAAAAGCTTCACTATCGATATGAGAATTGTTTTGAAAAGCAGGGAGATTGTGTTGAAAAATAAAATTAAAAACACTTTTAAAATTGTTGGTTTTCTTTGTTAGGCTTATAAGTTTTTGACCTGCCTTCGCATACCTCTTGTGTAGCACATTGTCAATGTATACATACATTGTACAACACATTGTCAGTATATCGTCAAGGGTTGATTGATAAGTTGTGAGCCTCAAATAGAAAGACTTGACCGAAAGTCATTAAAATTATTTATTTTCAACATAATCACCTTCCACATTGACACACCTTTTCAACGATATGGGAGGGATTCTACCCTTCTCTTCGCAATTCAAAAAGTTCTCAACAGTTGGTGTGACGTCATCATTCGAATGGCACCATTCCACTTCTCCAGCACTAAAGAAATTCAGATCTAGAGCTTTCTTCATGTTTGGGAACAGATGGAAGTCTGACGGAGCCAGATCAGGAGAATAAGGTGGGTGCTGAATGAGTTCAGAACCACTCTTGTGGATTGTAACCATGGCAATGCATGATTTGTACGCTGGTGCATGGTCCTGATGATGAGCACATCTTTTCTCACCTTCCCTTGTCTCTTAATTCGTCTTAATTTGAGTGAGTGAGTTTGATTTTACGCCACTTTTAGCAATATCACGGCGGGGGACACCAGAAATGGGCTTCACACATTGTACCCATGTCGGGAATCTAACCCGGGTCTTCGGCGTGACGAGCGAACCGCCCCAGTCTTAACTTGATCCCGTATGTGACCCCAAAATGCAGCGTAATATGACGATGATGGCACATAACGAGAGCCTCGGCATCCCAGGACACGAAGGTCATGACCTTTCCAGCTGATGGGACAGTCTTTGCCTTTTTTCGTGGTGGTCATGTCAAAAGCTTCCACTTGTTTGATTGTTGTCTGGACTCAAGCTGGAAGTGGTGAACCCGGGTTTCATCCATAGTTACAAATCGTTGTGGATCAGCTTCACACAGAGCTAGATCCAGCAGTACAGAACCATCAACAAAATCAACATTGACATTGAGATTATGTCTCACATCCTTGGCTCTTAAAGAAAACTGTGGAATGCCTTGTTTTCATCTTGAGTCTTGACATGCTTCACAAGAGGATCATCAGACAAATAAATGTGTGTAAAAGTGCACAATACAATTCTATCATGAAGAGCCTCCATTATTATTATTAGTAGTAGTAGTAGTAGTAGTAGTGGTAGTAGTAGTAGTGGTAGTAGTAGTACTAGTAGTAGTAGTAGTAGTAGTAGTAGTAGTAGTAGTAGTCGTATACCTAGTGTCTGGAATATCTTCCTGTTGACTGTGACGCTGAGGGCCGTCTTCTGTAGCACGAGGTCGGCGAGGTACGCAAAACAGAGGCCGCCGAAGAAACGACCAATGTACGGGAGTGATGACAGGATGCCGTTCTGTTGGGTCAAAAATCGTTGCATCACGTACCAGGAATCCAAGTATAATTTTAGAATGATATAATAAAAATCAGATAACATTACCAAAAACAATACCAATATTAATAATAAAAATATTAATTATGTCCTTCCAGACATTTTTTGAAAATAATAATAATTACGACAATAATGAGTGGGTGAGTGAATATTGCTGAACGCCGCATAAGCAATCTTGCAGCTATTCGCAGCTTGACGACAATAATGATAAAATATAGATAAAATAATAAATTACAAAAAAAGAAAAATAAATAAATAAATAAATAAATAAATAAATAAATAAATAAATAAATAAATATAAATAAAAAAATAAATAAATAATTAAAAAATCTAGGAACTCGAGATAGACAAGTATTCTGAAATAACAGTCTTTTGTGTGTTATTTACCGCGCTTATTTCGAACTTGAGGACATCGTTCATGTACATGGGCAGGAAGGTTTGTATTGAAGACATGATCCAGGAGTGCGACACGTGGTTGACGACCAGGGCCCAGAACGGCAAGGAGCGGAACGTCTTCCTCCACGGCAGAGGCTGTCGGGACAGGGTGAGTGAGTCAGTTTAGTACAACTCCGCTCGAATCGCTATTAATTTTTGGTTAAATCAAGATGTATCAGGCGAATGGGGATATAAGCCTAGGGCATAAGCCATGTACCGGAACGACAAGGCAATACATTCTTTCATTCGGCGCTTAAAAACTCCCTTTTTTCCAATTCAAAGAATCCCAGGCCTCAAACATAATATGGAATGGTCGGCCGCTTTGAATATTTAATCATTACCTTGATTCTTGAGTATTGACTAGATATCTATAGTCTTAAATTTTGCCTTGATAGCCAGAACCTTGAATATTGACTAGATAGCTTGTTCATTGAATACTAGATAAATTGATCATTGGATATTGACAAGATAGCTACTCCCTTGAAAAATATACAGATTGCTAGAGCCTTGGATATTGACAAGATAGCTAGACCCTTGAACATTGACTAGATAGTTAGAGCCTTGAATTTTGACTAGATAGCTAGAGCCTTGAAGATTGACTAGAAAGCCAGCGCCTTGAATATTGACTAGATAGCTAGATCCTTGAATACTGACTAGATAGTTAGAGCCTTGAATTTTGACTAGATAGCTAGAGCCTTGAATATTGACCAGATAGTTAGACACTTGAATTGTGGCAAGATAGCTAGAGCCTTGAATATTGAGAGATAGATAGAGCCTGAATATTGACTAGACACCTAGAGCCTTAGATATTGATTAGATAGCTAGACCCTTAAAAATTCACTAGATAGTTAGATCCTTGAATATTGACTAGATACCTAGAGCCTTGACCGTTGACTAGATACACAGAGCCTTGGATATTGACTAGGTACATAGAGCCTTGAATACTAGAAAACTTGAGCCTTAAATATTGACTAGATAGTTAGATCCTTGAATATTGACCAGATACATAGAGCCTTGGATATTGACTAGTTACATAGAGCATTGAATACTAGATAACTTGAGCCTTGAATATCGACTAGATTGCTAGAGCGTAGAATATTGACTAGATAGCTGGAGCCTTGAACACTGACTAGATAGCTGGGGCCTTGAACACTGACTAGATAGCCAGAATCTTGAACACTGATTAGATAGCTAGAACATTGAACGCTGACTAGATAGCTAGAACACTGAACGCTGACCAGCTAGAGCTTTGAGTATTTATTGCCTTGTGCCAAACCTTTGACATGATAGCCTGATCAATGCATATTCAATAGATAGCTAAGACTAAGACTAAGACCAAGAGCATTGAACATTAATTATGTTGCTAGAGCATTTCAATACTGACGAGAAAGCTAGAACAAGGGCGTATAATAAATGAGAAAATACTGACTAACACAAACTGTAATAATCGATCCTTGTTTCAAATGTTAACTTCATACCGAGATCTTTGAATGTCAACTGTACGCGTAGAGCCTTGACCAGTTACCCTCCGAAACACGTGCATACACTGTCACGCTTTGGCTTGTACGCATCGGCTATCTCTGCGTTCGTGTGTGTTAAGTGTAGGAGCTACGACCGCATTGTCGTAAGATGACAAAGTGGCGTTGTTCTGGGATTACACTGAGTGAGGTGATGTGAAATGGGGTTTAACGTCGCGTCCAAGATTATTGGACTTATATAGCGACGTGCTTGCACGTGTGTGTATGGGGCCACTTGTACTAGTTCGGACTGATGCCGATTTAAAGTGCTAGCCCATTGAAATACCATGCCGCAGTTTAACATGAATACCCCACTTACAACAAGTACCATCTTTTAACGTCTTTTGGTATCACCCAGTCGGAGATCAAAACCCGGACCTTCCGCTCTCCGGGCGGACGCTCCACCACTAGACCACGGAGGCTGTCTCCACTGAGTGAGAGATTCAGTGTACGAGTATGAACTTTTTCTGTTGTTCAACTCATTTATGTAAAGTCTACATGTATATTGACCTTAGATGAGGACTTGATTGAGGTCTTGCCATAGTAGATGCGCTGCTTTTCGTCCTTGGAGCATCTGGGATGACGCTCTGGAGCATCGTGCACGAACAGCAGCCACAATACCAGCCACATCACACCCGCTCCAGCTGACACAAAAAAGCAAAATCCTGCGTGTGGGATGACTACCGGTGCGGAAGGACATGCCTACCCTTTTCACGAACACCTGGGTTCATCATTGATTTTCGGTGGTCCATTCATATAATTTTGACAGCTATTTTGCCCTTTACGCCAAATGGAATCTGTTACGGCAGATAACCTAGACTGGTTATTCTCTTAAATTGACAATTTATTTCTATTATTATTTATTACTTTTATATTTATTATTGTTAAATTTAATTAACTTGATTAATCTGATTGAATTGGTTTCCGTCCAAGGATCCGCTAGCTCGTCCTGCTTATAACTTTTGTGTGTCTGTGCCAGAGACGTGTCAGGCCCGTGTTTTTAGCAAAACAAATTTTATTTTTGTTGTTCTTTAACGCCGCATTCAGCAGTATTCAAGATATATGATGGCGGTCTGTAAATAATCGAATCTGGACCAGACAATCCAGAGATCGACGTCATGAGCTTCGATCTATACGCAACTGGGATACGACGACATACATCAACCAAGTCAGCGAACCTGACCACCCAATCCCGTAAGTCACATCTTGCGACGTGAATAAGTTTCTCAAGGCCAATTCTAACCCGGCTCTTCAGGGAACACCACGGTGGTAAACGTCTATGAGGTGGATCATCTTTCACACCAAGCTGGCACGCCGTGAAGTAACGGAACTACTGTCCCCAGCGGCGTTATACCAAACTCACTCATTCATTGAATTACTTTTGTTGATAAATGTTGATAAATGTCATAAAGAAATCTGGTAATTATGAAAAGAAAATGACATCAAATACAGGATCCTAACAATTCTAGCGAAATGGCGGGTTTTGGGGGGCATCTTAAACGCTATCTACTGCATTTTGGGACCGTTTATGTTAGATTTTATTTGTAACAAGTATTAATAATTTATTTATTATAATTTTGTATAAGTAGTATATATATATATATATATATATATATATATATATATATATATATGTGTGTGTGTGTGTTTCACCAACACATTTACGACTTTCATTCAAGAAACATCTATGCTAACAAATGAAATTTAAACATTAAAACTAATCGATAACAGTATTTTTATGTGTTTTTACATGTTCATTTGTAGTATGTGATGGTTTTTTATTTATTTATTTTCATATCTTAACGCGAGCCGACCTATCATTATGATAAAAATAATTGTGAGAGCGCGGTTTGTTTACGTCACGAACCATCTCCCACTAAAATTCTAAACTGCGTAAAGATTCCGTTTTCAAGTTGAGAATAAATATCTGGGTCAACCGTGTAGATTTTGAATTAATAATTTACTGCATAGATGGTAAATTGAGGTTTATTTATAAAAGAAATTGTGTTGTTTTATGTGTAAAAACATAATGGTTTTTTTTAGGCGTAAGCAATTGTTTTTCTGCTACAATGGTAGTTTCGCCCCTGTATTTAACTTACCATATGTGTAGAAAGTGAGAGGCCATCCTTCATCCACTGGTATCTGACAAATGAACCCGGAGATGGCAGTCGCCACGATGCTGCCAAGGTTCACACCTGCAGTATACCACAGCGTTTCTAAGCTGTACAATTGGGTAAATACAAAAATGAAGCGACAGGGGTAGTTGTAGAAACGCAAATATAACAATTACCAATGACTATAACTATATACAGATAACACCAGTATCGCAAAAGTAAACAGCAAAAGCTATGTCAATGTTTAAAACGGTGATGTCACTTTCAGGGGCGCGCATTAACGAAAGAGGGTTTCAGTGAGTGAGTGTGCTGGGTTTAAAGCCGTTTTTAACAGTATTCCAGTTATATCGCGGCATGCCAGTTTAATTTGGGAGGAAAGCCCGAAGTGATGCAGGTCTCAGACGTTTACCACTTCGGTGAAACCCACGAGCACGGGTATGGTGCTGACACACCTAAAAACATAATCGGGGCGAACCGGGATTCGATCATAGGTTTCATGCGTGCCCAAGGGACGCAACTCTGCACAGCGAATCGCGGCGCCTTACACGACTGGACCACCCGGGCTGCGAAGGAGGGTTTCAAAGATCGTCCTTTATCTACACTGTAGACTTTTGACTTCATGAGTCGTTCTTTAAATCCATGGACCTGGCCTGATACAGGCACCAACACCGGCACCGAAATCCCCCACAGAAAGAATGAAGGAGGAGAATTCTAGCATTCGTGACCAACTCCTGTTATTCCGGGACAAGCCGAATTGCGAGTCTTCTTGCAGGTTACGGAAAGGGGCGAGTGGTGCCGAATGGAATTCTATAAGTCAATCCTATGGAATCCTAGAAGGGACATTGTCGCGCTGTCGCCCTTGCAAAAACAAAGCAAACAAATGTCAAAATTAACCCAAACCCGACAATACGACGAAACATTTGGTCTTATTTGTCGCATTGTCGCGCTTTGAATAATATTTTTACCAAGGACGACAAAGAGACAACGCGACTATGTCCCTTCTGGGATTCCATACAGCCCTGTCTCCATGCACGCCACAGCTGCTGCACACGGCCCCATTTAATAATATCATTACCTGAATTTGATGTCGCAGCAAGTTGAGCCTTTTCCGAAATGGGGGCCCAGTTTGACCATAATACTTGCTGTGATGGCAGTATAACTCCCTGAAATAAATAATTGTAAATACAAATTTGTTTTCGTTTGCAGTTTACGCTGCATACATGAATATAAAACTGCGGCCTGTGAAGAATCAGCAACGACTCAGGCTTGTATTTTCATGATTCAAATAAAACTGGGTTTTTCTATAAATCCGGGGGGGGGGGGGGGAGGGGGGAGACTGCCCTTTCCCGGCCCCCGGCTGGCTACGGCATTGATTCTAGCATTACCAAGGCAGTCTGTAATTAATCACGCCTGATCAACGCCATCCTGTGGTTAGCAGCATGAACAAAGACCGATGACAAGGGACCGATGACAGCCTGGGCCCCGTTCCACAAAGCGATCTCAGCATTAAAACGATCGTTACTCCATTACTTTAAGAACGACTTACGGTTATTCTAGCACTCTCGTGGCTTTTTGCAGAACTGAGCCCAGGTCACATACTGTACATATCAACCCGTGAAAATCTGGGGTAGAATGGGTCTTCAGCAACCCATTCTTGCCGTAAAAGGCGACTATGCTTGTAAGAGGCGACTAACGGGGTCTGGTGGTCAGGCTCGCCGACTAGGTTGATGCATGTCATCGATCCCAGTTGCGTGGATCGGTGCTCATGATGTCAATCACTGGATTGTCTGGTCAAGACTCGATTATTTACAGACGGCCGTCATATAGATGGAATATAACTGAGTGCGGCGTTAAACAACAAACAAACAAACAATCACATACTGTAATAAATCGCAATAATCGGCTCTTGTGAACTACATTGGGTTAGTTAATACCTTTCCCAACAACACATGATTTAACGTGTTCTCCACCACATTCGCAAACACACACACACACACACACACACACACATACACACATACGAGTTGAAAGCGCTAGACTATTAAAACTCTGTTCAATCTTACTCCACTTATTTAATTATTACTATGTTGTGCCTGAGAGTTAGAACTTTACTGTGCTATATATATATATACACATACGCGCACACATACACACACACACACACACACACACTCTCTCTCTCTCTCTCTCTCTCTCTCTCTCTCTCTCTCTCTCTCTCTCTCTCTCTCTCTCTCTCACTCACTCGTGTAGAATATGCCTAGATCTGTCATGTGTTCCCTACCGAAGCAAACCCCATGGCAACACGCAGGGCTACGGTAATGTACACATTAGTCCGGATGCTGATTGGCAGGAGCACCATGACAACCACAGACACCGCCATAGATAGACCAATCATAAGCTTCGGCCCAAATCTAGCAGCGAGATATCCACCAATCAGAGGCGTCCATAGATACCCGTAGAAGTAGCAGGAAAGCACCAAACCTCGGAGGTCAGCAGGGATATACGGGTTGACAATCTGTAGGGGAAAGAATGGAAATCTACGTAATAATAGTCATTGTCTGATCGTGACATTGTCAGAGAACAGATTTAAACCTTTACGAGCATGTGCTGATAGAGATGACACATATGTGATCTTTGTTTTGGGTGCAGTAAAGATTAAACAGAAGACACTATTTTACTTTAAATGAAGACATAAATATTCACGTTATTTTTCGCGAACACCTGGTGTCATCCATGATCCATTCGTATACTTTTCACCACTATTTGCCACGGAATCTGTTTCCGCAGATAATCACGAGTGATTATATCTCTTCCCGCATTCACACAATATCGCTGAAATACTGTTCACAGATGCGTTCAACCCAAATGAACTTATTTATTGAATCGATTTTATTCATCATAAAAAAATCTTATCAATGCCATTACGTTTTTGTAAAAAATAATGAGTTTTAATACACACCAAAACACGTTTTATATTTTCATATATAATATCATTACAGTTCAATGTTTATTAGTAAAATCTTGTTTGGCTAAGCATAGAGGCATCGCGTATTTAAAGTGCAATTTGGGTGAAACAAATCAACTAATACAGGCGTCCAGTCTCTGCAAATAACGTTGCAATTAGAAACAATTGGTATAAAGTTCAAATGGAATAAATCGCATATAGTGTTAACCAACGTTGACACTGGCACCGGCACTGCTATCAGTTGTATTGTATGTCCCTGTGATGTTGCTGCCGCCAACGTTGCCTGTTTCCATGCACACTACAGCAAAGCTGAACGAGTGCCTGAACGCAAACAGCAGCAATGAGCAGAATAACGTCAGGTAACCAGTCTGCCATCGACAGGACGTAAACTTGGACCGGCATCCTTCACGCCGTGGCTTGGCGGCCATCTTGGATATGTTGTCGTCATTGTTAACTTTGTCTGAAATTAAACTCGATGATAAAAACCACGAAGATACCAACCATGATTAAAAGCCCCCCTCTTACCCCAACACAAAAATTTCAACAACAAAAAAATAATGAGTAAATGAGGCTTAACAATGCATCTATTAGTGTGTGTGTGTGAGTGCGTGCGTGCGTGTGTCTGTGTGTGTGTGTGCGTGCGTGTGTCTCTCTGTGTGTGCGTGCGTGTGTCTCTATGCGTGTGTGTGTCTCGCTCTGTGTGTGTGTGCGTGCGTGAGTGTGTGTCTCTGTCTGTGTGTGTGCGTGCGTGCGTGCGTGCGTACGTGTGCGTGTCTGTGTGTGCTTCTGAGAGATGAGAACAAAGAAAGTTGTCCGCCACGAAATATACATTGTTGCAAGACATATTTTTGAATATCAAATATCCAATAGCTGGTCCCGAAAGGACGTTATTAATAATAATAAATGTACTGTCGCATGGGAGGAATACTGTTCTGCGGCGTCAGCCAACAAAGCAATTTGTGTGAGTGGCAACGGATACCGGCAGGGCAGGTTATGCTTACCCTTTTCGCGAGCACCTAGTGTCATCATCGATTTTCAGTGATTTTCATATACAATATATTTTAACCGCTGGTTATTCTCCAGCGTATTATATTTAACTAAAAGTACCGTTATAATGCAGACCTATTTGTGTAAATTGTATACATTATATTAATTTGAAATTTAAAAAATAAAGTAAACTGTATGAATCTTATAGAGCAGGGCTCCACACAGCCACATTGCTCGTTCAGAGTGAGTGAGTGAGTGAGTGAGTGAGTATGGTTTTACGCCGCTTTTAGCAATATTCAAGCAATATCACGGCGGGGGACACCAGAAATGGGCTTCACACATTGTACCCATGTCGGGAATCGAACCCGGGTCGTGAGGAGCGAACGCTTTAACCACTAGGCTACCCGACCGCCCCTGCTCGTTCAGAATGTGACAAGCGAAAAAAGTGAGAAGTGACAGACACAAAAGTTTTGACATGCAGCAGGCCTACACAAGATAGTAGCGTGACGCACTCTCAACCACGGCGTTTAATTGCAAATCAGCATTCAGATGAGTGTTTCAATTTTCGCTCTGTCATGTCTGTATTATGACCTACAGATTTAGTGGAGGTAAAATACGTTTAGAAATTAAGATAAGCTGTCCAAATAATGAAAAATGTCTACACACAGCGAATTATTATCGATGCATTTGAAATCTTTCTGAAACATTTAAACTGCATTCAGGACAGAGGTGTTTCAAAGGTGCTGTGGATCATCAACGTTAAATTACATTTGTAGCCATGTTGGAATGTAGATTCTAACAGCGCTTGATAACTTCGATTAAATCGGGAGAGAGACATTAAACATTCATGCATTCATTCACTCATTTTCAACTTCTTAAAGTCCCATTCCTCCCTCATGAAGATAACACTCACTCACTCTATATGCATCTAAACTTAGATTGTCCTTTTCATGTTAGATAGTACCCTTCCCGTGATATCGCTGGAATATTGCTGAAAGCGGTGTAAACACCATGCTCACTCACACACTCACTCACTCGCCCATTACAAGTAAAAACTAATAACACATGTGCAAATCGGTTGATATGAGACTGTATTCCCCTTTACCGTTAGACGGTCGTGAGTGACCGGTGTCCAGTATCTGCATGTCCGGCTCCATGCTTTCAGGGGAGTGTGCTCAGTCGGAGCTCAGCACACGTTGTGGTCCTCTGGCATGCTAGAGGATGATCTTCACATGTCTGTGCATGACCAACACCAACGTGAAGTTCCTTTGATGTATGCATTCATGTTAACCCTCTCTGTTCTAACTAGGGGACACACACGGGAGGCCTGTCGTCCCAGGCGACTCAATTCGCCGTGTCCCTTATGCGTGCCTGGATCGAGTTGAAGGCCCGGAGTCATCATGTTTGTGAATCTTGGTTTGTTAGGACCACGCCCTTCCTCCTGGGTTTCACTAAAGTTAAGAATGTGTGGGACTGTGTCAATTCTGGTTTTCGTCACACACTGAGTGAGTGAGTGAGTGAGTGAGTATGGTTTTACGCCGCTTTTAGCAATATTCCAGCAATATCACGGCGGGGGACACCAGAAATTGGCTTCACACAATGTACCCATGTCGGGAATCGAACCCGGGTCTTCGGCGTGACGAGCAAACGCTTTAACCACTGGGCTACCCGACCGCCCCTCGTCCCACACTGAGTTGACTTCGTGATATGACTGTAATACTATTCAAAACGACGTCAAACCCATTTAACTCACCGTTTTAACGACGTTTACACGGAATTCCCCAGGAATGTTGAAGTCAGTGGTCATTTCGAGAATCCTGTCTCGTGAAAAACGATTGAACGGAAAGTGAAGGCATGAAAGTCAGTTTTGCGGTCATGTGACCGGCCTTGCCTATTGGAAACCCTTTTTCGTGTGAACTTCACTTTAAACAAGAGTCATCACAAATTCGAAAGAACAAATAATCTGACTGTTATCTGACCTTGATGGAGAGGTTATTGAGCTATCAAAACAATGGAATTGGGATTCGGAACTTTGTATTTCTATGTCACGTACACACCAATATGAACTGAGTCCAAATCAAACTTGTTTTCATGAAAACAGAGAAAATATCAATTCTAAAAATCCCTAAATAGCAAAAGCCATCAGTTGACTACCTGGTATATGTGTGTGCACAGTTTCAAGAAAGAGTACCTATTACTTTTAGAGATGGTCCAGTGAGGTGAGGTGAGGTGAGGTGAGGTGAAATTGGGTTTAACGTCGCGTCCAAGATTATTGCACTTATATAGCGACGTGCATGCACGTTCGTGTGTGTGTACTAGTCCGGACTGATGCCGATTTATAGTGCTAGCTCACTGAGATACCATGCCGCAGTTTAACATGAATACCCCACTCAGACACAGTATACTGACTCCGAGCCGACCAGTCCTTGTTTTAGCCCCTGAATGCCGAGCGCCAGACAGGGTAACAACAAGTACCACCTTTTAATGTCTTTATGACGCAGCCGGGGATCGAACCCCGGACCTTCCGCTCTCCGGGCGGACGCTCTATCACTAGACCAAGGAAGCGGTCCAGAGATGGTCCTGACAAACACACCACTATGAACCACTATGAGTCAAAGTCCAACCTGTTGCCATGGAAACAGAAAAAAAAAGAAAAATATTCAGCCCTCGAGTAATATATGTACCAAGTTTGGATGAAAAATATTTAACAATGTTTAGGTTCTTCTCCGGAAATGACACCTACCTGCGTTTCAGCTAAGCCTTGTGGGTTTTTTTTTAGTTGTACTTTGATATATCTGTTAGTTTTTGTTGAAAAATATTAAACGGTTTTTAGAGTTACGCTCCGGAAACGAAATAATTACGGACGGGCAGACGAACAGACAGACGAGGCGTCGTCTCTATCCTTGGGGATAAATATTATGTGTCATAGCACAGTGTATTTCCTAGTGGTTAGAGCGTTCGCTCGTCTTCGAGGTAGAATAGGTCTTCAGCAACCCATGCTTGCCGTATAAGGCGACTATGCTTGTCGTAAGAGGCGACTAACGGGATCGGGTGGTCAGGCTCGCTGACATGGTTGATACACGTCATCGATCTCAATTTCGTGGACCGATGCTCATGATGTCAATTACTGGATTGTCTGGTCCAGACTCGATTATTTACAGATCGCTGTCATATAGATGGAATATTGCTGAGTGCGGCGTTAAACAACAAACCAACCAACCTTTGGGGTATCCTGATCACAACTATGATTGATTAAATTTTTAATTAGTCTACTTGAGTATACCATCTCAGTATCCTTTATGCTGCCAGCTGGATACCCACTGGCATATAGCATACTCTTATGATACTCCATGGTGGGTGGGGAGCTGGGATGGTGAAACCTCTATCATTAACCATGGCTCAACACAAAAAACACAAACGAGCATTGGATGAGTGTTTGTCCTCTGATGAGGATAGTACCTCACACAGACCTGATAACTGGAGAAGATTTTGGTTTATCTTCTACTGATAGGTAACCTCTTCAATTAATTCCATTTGCAACATCAAAAGCAATTTATGGCATAGATGGTGACGTGCAAGCTGTTAAAAAGATTCGATCTGGCTTTCTTCTGATTGAGTGTAAAACGGCGAAACATTCTGCTGCTCTTCTAAACACAAAACACCTCGTGAATACTGAAGTTTCAGTTTCACCGTACGAGTCTCTGAACAGTACTAGGGCGGTCGGGTAGCCTAGTGGTTAAAGCGTTCGCTCGTCACGCCGAAGACCCGGTTTCGATTCCCGACATGGGTACAATGTGTGAAGCCCATTTCTGGTGTCCCCCGCCGTGATATTGCTGGAATATTGCTAAAAGCGGCGTAAAACCATACTCACTCACTCACTCACTCACTGAACAGTACTAAAGGCATCATCAGAGACAGTGGTTTCTCGCCCTCTTACTAAATCTGTTCAGTCTGTTGCATGTCAAACTGATATCACCTGGACAAAAACAGACACATATACAAGCATTACACCATCTTCAACTGTTGGCCAGAACCTTGCCTCATCAGAATCTCAGATCGATTCACTAAGAGCACCAACTCCTATTGTGAAACATGCTTTTCAGAAAGCGTGACCCTGTGAAACTCTTCAATACACTTCAGATACATGAAGACATGGATGTCGCGTGCAACAGAAGCCACTCGCCCCGGGCTGGACAAAGTAGATCCCCAGTACTTCCGCCTCCTATAACATGAATCAAAATAATTCCCTCATTCAGTGGAATTGCAGAGGACTAAAGACGAATTTTAATTAAATTCAATTACTGGTACAGGATTTTAAGCCATCAGCAATTTGTCTTCAAGAGGCATATCTCAAGCAAACACATACATTTGACTTCTGTCAGTACAGTTCATATCTTTCATTTTCTCCTCTGTGTGATAAAGCCACTGGAGGATCTTCCATCCTGGTGCGACAGGATGTGATTCACATTCCTGTGTCCCTTGATACCAATCTCCAAGCTATTGCAGTAAGACTCACTTTGCACATTGCATTTACTCTATGCTCTCTATATATTCCTCCCTCCTCTAATCTTAAACGTTCTGAACTATAATCTCTACAGGATCAGCCTTCTAAACCCTGTATCATAATGGGTGATCTGAATGGTCCAAATCCCTTATGGGGAAGTGTCAATCTAAAGGGAAGCTATTTGGGGATTTTATATCTGATAATAACATATGTATTCCTGCTACTGGAACATGTTCTGCGTTAGGTCTGTCGCTATCAGATTGTAACTTGTTAAATGAATTTACATGGTCGGTCCATGATGATTTGTGTGGAGACGACCATCTCCCTACCATCCTGAGAATGAATAATCCATGTGACGTTCCGCCCTCATTAAAGTGGAATCATAATAAAGTCAACTGGTGCTTATTTCCAACCCTCTGTACTGACAAGTTAAAACGTGACATTTTCCGGAATGCTCCTGACCCTATTAAGTTGTTCTCGGAGCAACGGAATGAAACTGCTGACGAAACGATACCAAAGTCATCTACAAACCCACACATTCCAAAACTATGGTTCGATAATAAATCCAAAGAATAGGGAAAAGGCTGAAAAATATTTCCGCCGAAACCTGACTGTTCATAATTTGAATACTGTTAAAATTACAAATGCTAAAACACGACGTACTTTCAACGGAATAAATGTGTGTCAAGGATGAATTATGTCCCAAGGATCAATTCCTGAACACCTATGTCCAAGATGTAGAACATAAAGATTCAACAGAAGATTAAAGGAAAAGGTCCCAAATCTAGCGTTCACCATCTCAAAGATGGTGATCGTAAACTAACAAATAAAATTGATATCGCAAATAAGTTGGGCGGAACACTTGCTAAACATTCTTCATCAACAAATGATGCTCCAAGGTTTCAGAAATACCAGAAACAATAGGATAAGAAAAATATTAATTTTACTTCAGATAATGGTGAAGATTATAATGAAGTGTTTCAACTCCATGAGCTACATACTGCCCTTGGCCAAGCTCATGATACTGCGACAGGAGATGCCAATATACGCTATCTGCTCCTAAAGCAATTACCACAGTCATGTCTTGAGACACTTTTAGACATTTGTTTAGATCGTTTGCCTCAGTTTGTATCCGACAGTTTCAAGTTCGTGTGGGTCCAACCCTGTCTGACTGATTATAATCAGGATCAGGGATCCCACAGGGCAGTATTCTATCTGTCACTTTATTTAGCATAAAGATCAACAGCCTTCCAAAGATTCAAATGACTCACTTGATGGGTCACCTGTTGTGGATGACTTCAATATTTCATGTGACAGTAGGTGAGACAAATAGCGTTCTAGTTTATCATCACCTATATTGGCAACAAAGATCAATCGAAGTCCATCTTTATAACGACACGGATTGAGGTGTGTGTGTGTGTGTGTGTGTGTGTGTGTGTGTGTGTGTGTGTGTGTGTGTGTGTGTGTGTGTGTGTGTGTGTGTGTTTGCGCGCGCGCGCGCGTGTGTGTGTGTGCGTGTGTGTTACTTTACTTTACACGTCCCCGCTTGCCATACCCTTCACACACAAAAAGGCTGCAAGTATTTTGAGATTTTACGTGCGCTTCCCGTCATTATGTGTATTTCGGACACCGTCTTGACATTCACGGAATCCATGGCACTAATAAACAGCACAGTTCTCCTGTCAACTAATGTAACGATCGCGTATATTCTGTACCCGACTGGTGGTGATACCCAATAAGATTGCAGGCCTAGACGGTCGTACTAATTAAACCACGCCTCCTCATTAGAGCTTTAGGGATTTGTTGGGGATGTTACAAATACAGGCCCCAAAATAACAGCGCTATGTTTACGTTTTCACACTTTTTTTCTCGGTCTCTGTATTGTACATCATACTGGCTACATAATTGTGTAATAAAAATCTGCTACTACTTTTCATTATACTATAAGGCTAAACGTCCATTAATAATGGTGCGGGGCGGTCGGGTAGCCTAGTGGTTAAAGCGTTAGCTCGTCAAGCCGAAGACCCGGGTTCGATTCCCGACATGGGTACACTGTGTGAAGCCCATTTCTGGTGTCCTCCGCCGTGATATTGCTGGAATATTGCTAAAAGCGGCGTAAAACCATACTCACTCACTCAATACTAATGGTGCAACATGAGTCACATTAAACTTACACAATCGTGTGAATGCGGGAATCTGAGGACTAATTTACATGTTAGATAGGGCCTTCAATTCCACTATATATATATGCTTTTATTCCTCCATAGGAGAGTACAAAACATGTTATACGTTAACAGGGAAAAGCAGAGATTTTACATGGATTAAGAGTCACTTTAGAAGTTGCACATATCATATAGTCTGGTTATCACAGATATTTGGAACAGTTCTTGATACTCATCGGACAGGGAAACAGGATGCTGGCAGGACAGGAGACTGCAGACAAGATCAGTGTCGGATCTATCTTTGAGATGGACACTGTGTTCCACAGGACCAATGTTGATGATGTCACACCACAGCATCTCTCGATACATGCTGAAAGTCTCACAATGACACAGGGCGTGTGTTAGAAGGTCGTCGTAGTGTAGACCACAGAGGAAGCAGCGTGGATCGATGCTTATGGTGTCTACCACTGGATTGTCTGGTTCAGACTTGATTATTTACAGACCGCCATCATATAGCTGGAACATATTGCCGAGTGCGACGTTAAACAACAAACAAACAAAACAATAACACTTGAATACGGTTTCAATATCGATATTTCTGTTAGATTAGTTTGGTTTCTTGTGATCAAAAACGAAAATATATTTTAATCAAAGCAGACACACTTTTCCGATGACAGCTTCTTTTTTTTCTACTGTAATTGCCACGTTTCGGTACATGTGGAACATCCCGCCCATTAACACCAGAATCAAAGAGCACAAAACTTCAACCATCAAGCCAGACAGTAATCTGCCATCTCGGACCCTATCAGCAACTGCCCAAATCACATCAACTGGGAAAACGTCCAAATCCCCTCCAACAAAGTCCAAATCCTCTCAAACCCTCTCCAACAACGTCCAAATCCTCTCCAACAACGTCCAAATCCTCCCCAACCCTCTCCAACAACGTCCAAATCCCCTCCAATCCTCTCCAGCAACGTCTAAATCCTCTCCAACAACGTCCAAATCCTCTCCAACCCTCTCCAACAACGTCCAAATCCTCTCCAACCCTCTCCAACAACGTCCAAATCCTCTCCAACCCTCTCCAACAACGTCCAAATCCTCTCCAACCCTCTCCAACAACGTCCAAATCCTCTCCAACCCTCTCCAACAACGTCTAAATCCTCTCCAACCCTCTCCAACAACGTCTAAATCCCCTCCAACCCTCTCCAACAACGTCCAAATCCTCTCCAACCCTTTCCAACAACGTCCAAATCCAAATCCAAAACGTTGCAATGTTCTTCGGCGAAAACAGAGGACTTCAAATTTAAGCAAACATTGTCACGATATTATTCAGCGAGACCAGTAAACTACAAAGTATGAAAATATAAGGATCGAACCTCAGTTTGGATGGGTTCAATGAAGTGTGTATGTATGTATGTATGTATGTATGTATGTATGTATGTATGTATGTATGTATGTATGTATGTATGTATGTTAGTATGTATGTATGTATGTATGTATGTATGTATGTATGTATGTATGTATGTATGTATGTATGTATGTTAGTATGTATGTATGCATGTATGTATGTATGTATGTATGTATGTATGTATGTATGTATGTATGTATGTATGTATGTATGTTTGTATGTATGTATGTATGTATGTATGTATGTATGTATGTATGTATGTTAGTATGTATGTATGTATGTATGTATGTATGTATGTATGTATGTATGTATGTATGTATGTATGTATGTATGTTAGTATGTATGTATGCATGTATGTATGTATGTATGTATGTATGTATGTATGTATGTATGTATGTATGTATGTTTGTATGTATGTATGTATGTATGTATGTTTGTATGTATGTATGTATGTATGTATGTATGTATGTATGTATGTTAGTATGTATGTATGTATGTATGTATGTATGTATGTATGTATGTATGTATGTATGTATGTTAGTATGTATGTATGTTAGTATGTATGTATGTATGTATGTATGTATGTATGTATCCTGTTTAATTGGCTTCCTCATCATGTTGTCCCTGTCTATCATGTTGTTATTACTTAACCGAGTCATTTTAATCTCTCTCATGTATGCAATAGTTGTTACTGTTAATCCTCCACCTCGTAAAATAAAGAAGTTGTTATCCATAAATGGACTACTTTGCCATCCGTCACCTTCTAAGAAATGCCTATCGAACAACATATTTAAATCCACATCAAATTCTCACCAAGTGAGCTGAGTTACAGTTGACAAGGTCTGAGAATGTTAGCTTAACAAAATTGTTATAGATGAGCAACTTCTTTATTACAATTGGGCTCTTTGAGTGTCATTTAGAAGTTGGAATGGTAACTAAACAAAATTGTTATGGATGAGCAACTTCTTTATTACAATGTAATGTTGACATATAATAGCCAAATTGCCACAAATATGACTTTTAACGAGTCAAAGTATCGCATTTTAATATATGTATCCATTCTTTAGCAACTAAAGTTCGTTTCAATGCGCAAAAAGCGGTAATCTGACCGTGGTTGCTGTATCTCTTCACACACGATTTCACCTAACTTAATGAAAACAATTATATTAAATAAAAATTTGAATAAAATTAATAAAATATATTACAAAAACATGTTCAGATATACAATGAACACGTTTTAATAACAAGATAGTATAATGATGGTATTGAATTGCGTACTTCAGTTCGGTTTTGCTGACTGGTATTTCCGGTGTTATGTGCTTGCGGTGATTAGCTGATAATGTTTATTGAGATGGGGAAAAACACCTGTCGGTGTAAAACCTGAGCTTATTAAAAATGTAAGTACGTTTTTGTGAGCCATGCGTTACCGCGCGCTATAACCAACTTAGCGGTTTATTGAAAGGCACAAGAGCGAGGAAACGCTGTACATGTACTTGAGATATGCGTGGCGTATCGATAAATGGGCCCACGTTTATCGTATATCGTATCGTGGGTCAAGTATCGCGATGCATCGGAATATCGGTGTATCGTTTCACCCTTACATGACACCCAATCCATGTAGCGGCCTGTATTCAGCCCACACTCACACCCCATAGACCACACCTGGGACGAGGTTTTAAGAAGACAACTGCGGTGCTTCTCAGAGTATGGGCCCCAGCGTTAACGGCCTTCATCAACTGACAAATTCACTCCATGTACAGAAGATGCATGGTTGAATTTAACGCCCGCAGTGGTCGCACATTAACTCTGACCACTCATGTTCTCATCTGTTCTTGGGGACACGGGTGGCGCCGCGATTCGCTGTGCAGAGTTGCGTCCCTTGGGCACACCAGAAACATATGATGGATTCGAATCCCGGTTCGCCCGGGATTATGTTTCCAGGTTTGTCCAGGTTTGTCAGCACCATACCCGTTCACAGAAGTTGTAAACGTCTGAGATCTGCATCACTTCGGGCCTTCCTCCCACATTAAGCTGACACGCCGTGATAAAACTTGAATACTGTTAAAAGCGGCGTTAAAACCCAACTCACTCACTCACTCATCTGTTCTGGTGATTCTGTTATTGAGAACGTTTGACGTCCTTCTTTGACATGTGGTGATCTGTAACGTTTCAACTTCCTACTCGTCAGTTTGTGTTCCTCATCTTTTGAAATATAGACTCTGAATTCTTGCAAAGGAATGACGTTTCTTTTGTGGTTCAGTGTATAAAGCAATGACCTAACTAACCGTTAGCATGCTATAATATAGTGGAACCCCATTAACCCCTACCTGTTTAGCTCAGACACACACCTTAAGCCTAATATAATAGTCTTGGGGTTTTACTGTATAACCACAGTAGGGTCAGGTTTACTCTAGCGATCAAGGTTCGCCCCGATTATGTTTCTAGGTTTGTCAGCACCATACCCGTGCTCGTGAGTTTCACCGAAGTGGTAAACGTTTGAGAACTGCATCACTTCGGGCTTTCCTCCCAAATTAAGCTGACACGCCGTGATATAACTGGAGTACTGTTAAAAGCGGCGTTAAACCCAACTCACTCACTCACTCACTCACTCTAGCGATCCATAACTGCCTCACTGTATCTGTGGAAGCCACGTACTATCCATGTACCCCGGACAGTCTGATGACAGCAAGGCAGGCATAGAATGAATGCCTAAGTGTACCGTGGGAACACTTGACTTGCCTGTGCATGTGTTTGTGTCGGGTATCACATTCTCATGATATTGTCGGAATCTTACACTCTGCAAGTTTAAGGCTATGGAAATGTTTTTGGTGTTTTTATTTTATACAGAAAACATTGCAGTTTGCTTACTCCAGAGTTAGTCACGGCAGATTAAACCCAGGGGTATTGGGTTGCTGTCAATCAAAAGGTCATTATCGTGGCAAATCCAGGATTTGAACTCGACCAAAGGATCCTGGTGTGACCGAGGGATGCCACCCGTGCGCCAAAACATGTACATTGATGTCACTGCATGAGCTCATTGGGTTTCTGCATATCCATCCATCGGAGCAATCATTTTAGACGCTGAGCCGACTCCACCTGATATACCCCGTGTCTCATGACATCTCCTTGGCGTACTGGTGGCTTTGTGTGTACACAAGTAACTACGGATATGACGACGTTTCATACTACGAATATTCATGTCATACGTTTTATGAGGAGTCGTAGGCTAAGCGAATAGACAAGACTAAACTCTACTGAATACAGGTGCAGAAATGGCTGCTGCTTTATCCATGCATTCGGCCCGTGAAGATCCGGGGTAGAATAGGTCTTCAGCAACCCATGCTTGCCGTAAAAGGCGACTATGCTTGTCGTAAGAGGCGACTAACGGGATCGGGTCGTCAGGCTCGCTGACTTGGTTGATGCATGTCATCGATGCCAATTGCGTGGATCGATGCTCATGATATCAATCACTGGATTGTCTGGTCCAGACTCGATTATTTACAGACTGCCGTCATATAGCTGGAATATTGCCGAGTGCCATTCAGATGCAGGTTATACGAGCCACGATATTGTAATTACAAGTATATAGACAGGAGTCAATCTGAAACGTGATTACACAAGTGGATGCAGGCATATCCATCAAGTTACCCGACCTAGGCTACATGTATATGCTAATATTGATTTTAAAGATAATATATGTATATCTACGACGTAGACAGGCGTCATCCAATCAAAAGAAGCCAATAAAATGAAAGTGTTATATTTCAGGACACACACAGTCATATGAGCACTGGGGAGCAAGGACGTGACGTCTATTGTGTTATCTTCAGCTTCAACATCTCTCTGTTTGCTTTCACCAGTCAAGGCTGCTGATGAGGAAAGTACAGAAGATGGTCCTGTTGTTGCTGTCCTTCCTTTTGTGGAACGGAAGTAGCACCATTGCATCTTCAGGGGTCGATCAGAGTGTTCAAAATATAGACCTTAACTATGAAGTGGAAAATGTATCTCCTCACAAAAAGATGCTTTCCCAGCTCCCACCTCAAGACAAGGCATACCCCCAGCTAAGGTGTGCTCTTCTCTGTTCACGGAGTTTTGAATGTTCATCGTTTACCGTGAAACAAGGACATACCGATTTACAAGCCTATCGGAGCCGGAAAGAGACAGCATTCAATAAAGGGGATAGGATGGAACTTGCTGATACACGTTGTGCATACTTCTCAAGGAATTGGAACGGCCGAAGACTGAGTTCTCTTCATCAAGGTAAAGGCATCAAGGGGAATGTTGTTATGACTTTCAATAATGTTAGTTATTCCTGCCAGTTGATGAGAAACACAGCCACGAGTAAGTCACCTTCTACAGTTGCAGAGATATTGGACTTCATGACTTCAACGCAGAGTGACACGTCTTTTCCAAGAGGAACCTCTTCTCCAAGAGAAACTTCTCTTCCTTCTGTCCCTCCTACCAAACTGTCTGAATGTCACTTTCCGAACAAGATGACTGTCACAAGTAAGCAGAACATTATGCTCTTCAGAAAAGAACCAGGAAGCAAGAAAACCGATCCCTACAATGTTTATGTAATGCAAAGCGACAACAGTAAACCAATACAAATTTACACTGGGTTAAATGTGTCTGGTTCACTTCATCTGTGCAAGATCTTCCTATCACATTGTTCTATCTTCTGTCCAAAAGTTGAACTGGTCATTCGAAAGTACTTTAATGGTCGAATTGGAGGTATTTTTAACTTAAAAGACAAAGTACATGATTTCACATTTGATGGGACATTACAAAATATGTTTGCGATTACTTGTAGATATAAAAGTATATGCCAGGTACGAAAATGTGAGTTAGCAACAGGTCAAACAAATATAATATATGATAGCATTATCAAAGCCGAGCGAGGTGGTCTGCAGTTCGATACAAAAACTAAGGTCTTTTAT